ACATTTCCAGCGATTAGTATACATTATTGCACTGTGACTACAACAGCACATACTGACACTACACTACAACTGCACATACATGATGAATTTCAGTAAATATTTTCAAAAATTCAAAAGATGCCTGTGAAAAAAGAGCTTCAAATTTTGCATTTACACGAATGCTTAAATGCTATTTTCTTAAAAGCTGCTCAAAATTTTTCAACGAAAACATCTTGATATTGAAACTGTTTCTGTCTATTGAAATAAAAGCGAATTTAGTAAACATAACATTAAAAAAGGCGATTTATCCATCGCAGGCGCTTTGTTTCACTTGGTCGAACTTTTTCAAGTTATTACTCAGTTTTTAGTACAGCAAAATTACAATATTTCAATATTATTCAAGTATTTCCACAAAATCCGAGGAAGTATGTGCTGTTGTAACCATTAGTTTTTGTTTTAAATAAAATCTGTCCTTTAAAAACATCTTAAAATAAGGTCATGTACAATTCTTCGAAAATAGGACGAGTTTTTGCGCAATTTTGTGTGAAGAACAGGAAATTTAAAAAATATTTTTCAAAAACTTTATATGGCATTATTTGAAACACATGTATTCTCAACACAATAATGTTAACAAATTGTCGCTAATATAAATATTAACGACGTGAGAGACACGTAAAAAATTTCTTTTTTGTAATTTTTGAAAAAACAAAAGAATATAGAAATATGTGGTTTATGTCATCTCATAGTGTAAACTTTATAAATAAATAAAAACTTTATAAAAAAATTTGGAGCCGTATGGAGAAAATGTTTTCTATTATATTAATTACAAATATTGCACGCAATATTGCGCGAAAGCTATTAAGTTTCAAAAAAAAAAAGTACATGACCTTAATGAAAGAACTAATTATGGACAACAAATTTCACTTGAAGGAACTCTATATCTGTAATATTGTAGTTGTAGGAAGACGCCGAAAAAAAAATCAAGCTTTTGCAATTATCGAAAATTCAGAGTCAACTGTGAAAATTGGACCTATGTCATCTTAATGTGTTTTTTACTATATACTCACAAGAAATTAGAAGAAAAATGTGGAGCTTTTTTTGGGAAAATTTTGAAAACGTTCCTAGGGCTTCATGTAAACTACCCAAAAAAATTAATGAATGTTTTTCAGCATCGCAGAGCTTCGATTCAGGCCAGATGGACAGGGGTTTGGAAACTAGGTGCTAAAACAGCACGTACTTTCTCGCCCTTATTTTAACCGAAACTTACGCGCAAAATACATTTTCGAAAAATTGTACGTGACCTTATTTCAAAATATAGCTTTAAGGCACGGATTGCATTAAGGGGGAAAACTATATTCATAATTGTAGTTGTAGGAAGACGCCGAAAACATTTTGAACTTTTGCAATTTTCAAAAATTCGGATTTTTAACGAACATGGGACTTGCACCATTCTCTTAAACACCCTTCACATTATCCATAACAAAATTTAATAAAAAACGTTCGAGCCATTTTGTTTTTAAATTTTGAAAATGTCCCTGACGCTTCACGTAAAGTACCCTCCAAAATTAAAATTTCGGTTTCACATTCAAGCGGTCGAGACATCAGCCAGATTGCTTGGGGAATATCAAATTTGAATAAAATCAGCTGAACACTTTAGCTGCTAGTGTTGGTCACGGACAAATGGACGTTTTGCTGTCTATCGATTTTTCGGTATCAAGGACCCACAAAACATGGATTATGGCAACATAACGTAGTAGAGGACTCCCCTAAATCTAGCAACTGGATTTATACACTTTCTCGTTATCCGAGCCTGGCAATCAGAGTTTTTCAGCAGAAAATTTGTTGTTTTTTCACGCAGCATAACATAAGCGGTAGCGAGAAAGTAAAAATTGTTTGCAAACTCTTCTTAAATTCTCTTGCAATGATCGATTCCATCTCAATATGAATGTTTCTAGTATTGACATTTTGTTTAATATGCCCTTCCAAAAATGGATTGAATTTATAATTAATTTCCGAGAACATTAAAAAATTTCATTTTTTGAAGACCCCCATCTCCAAGAAACGGTTCATCTTCAGAAGGAAAGAAAGCGAAATGATGGAAACTACTCCCTTTTGACACTTAACGCCAGTTCTCATGGTCGGAGCAATGTTGTTTTATTAATGAAGAATCCATTCATGTAGTTTCTTTGCGGAATTACTGTGGAATCCTGGGGCCCCGAGCGACTGCGTGCTCTAACCCCATGGCTTAAGACAACGTACTGCGTTTCTTAAATAATAATAGACTGTATCCGATCGCCTTCATATGCTGTTCACTTACGTGATTAAAGTATATGAAATAGTTTATTATTATAATGCTTCCTGTAGTAGATGGCGCATTATTCAACCAGAGGTAATAAAGGGCACTGCGTAAGTCAGTATAATATCACTTTAATCACAAAGGCATGGTTCGAAAATATGCCAAAATGCACAAAAAACAAATACAATACAACGTAGTTTGTTACAAATGGCTTAAATACCACTATGCGTTCTTTAATAGATACTCGCTACCGCGCTCATGCGTAATCAACTAACTTACACAAAAGGGTTTCTTTTAGTTACTTGTAACGTCAACAAAATTCCACAAGATGACACAGAAAATACTTTATCTGCGACGGAAGAATACCTCACGAGCGACAAGCTGTGTAACAACATTCGTTCCCACAGGAGTGTTGTTGACCAGAAGGTCCTAGCAGTAGCGTACCGAAATGAGTGTGGGCCCACCCGCAAACTTTTATCCAGGCCTCCTCTATAAAACCGCATAGTAAACACGAGTGATGTTATTACCTTAAATAATAAAAATACCCCCTAAAAATAGGCCCTTCCGCATTGCAGGCCCGAACGTTATGCCCCTAGAATTCGATTCCCGGCGCTGGCAGATTTTCAAAGCTAGCTATAGAACTATGTCTATTTAGCCATTTTCTCAAAGAAAAAAATCAGTGGCAGGCTGCTCTGACCGAGTTTTCCATGGTTTCTCAGAAACCAGGCATGTTTTATATTAATCGTAAAAGCCAGAGCCTCGACATGAACTTGAACACGTCATACTCAGTGACAAGCGTGCCGGTATCCAAGAAAACTAGCAGATGATCTCTCCCCCCCCATACAGTTTTTACAATAAACAAATTTAATAATCTAGTCGAACATCGGCTCGAGACACACTGGGTCCCTAGATCAGTGACCGTCTGGGAGCCCCGGATGTAAATGGCACCTGGACGCGGAAAGAGACTTGTAATTTTGTTACGCAAATAAGAGAATTAAAAAAACTGCGCCTTAAAAGGAATCGGGAGTCTTACACCTTATCGTAAAGAATCTATAGATACGTACAAAGTACTTTAGATACAATACAGATTTTTTTTTGCAGACTCCTAATACCAAAGGCATTTTAACATGTGCCCGGTAGTTTTATTTCCTTCATAAAGATAAGAACTCAGGTGTGTGTGTGTGTGTGTGTATAAAACAGACCTTTTTATAAACAATTTCAGGTTCAAAGATGAGCCTTCCTTGCATGGCAATTTCGAATTCTATAAATTCACACCTTTTTTATGTGAAACCAAGAGTTGGGGGACACAAGAAACACAAACATGAAGTCTTCTAATATACCTCTATTACTACGATTTTCTAAAAATAATATAACTTACACGTCAACAATTTGTTGAATGCTACAAAGCTCTTCATTATTATTTTGGATTCCTATTTGCCTGCACATTTTCAATTTGAAATGTCTCAAAATACAAATTACACAACTCCTGGTATGTTGGAAGACTGGCAACAATAACTTTCATCGACAAGAAAAACAACCGATTTTATTTTTTCATGCGATTCAATATGTATGAGAGAACTTTCATGGAAGGCACACTAGTTGAAGATCAGAATTTGTAGCTAATGTATGGTCATTAAAACAACTCTCAGGCAGCCAGACAGGCTTGCAACTACTGCAATTTACACTAATAAAAAAAGGGGAGGAAGTTCTTAAAAATGTATTTGCATTCATAAATTTTTGCTAAAATATTTGTTGAAAGATTAATGTGCCCTTACAATATCACATAGCACTCCTAACTGTGTACTGAAGATGTCAACAAAATAGCAGACACAAAATACAAACTATTGAAAAACAAAAAATTATTTTGTTTTCTTTCTTTTCTAACATACTGTAAGAAATTAGTTTATCACATACATACAAATGTAGAATTTTTAAAACCATTCCAATCAAAGAAAAGCCTTGAGTTCTTATCATTTACCTTTTCCTTTCCTAAACGTTCACATTTCCATATAGTTTGGTATCAACTCAAATTTGAAATTAAAACTATTAGAAGATTCAAATGTTTAAGAAGTTATTTTTATTTTCATTGTTTGAGGGATAAACAGAATGATAAAACATGGTTTTTGTTTTGCATTTAGGATTCTTTAAAGCCAAAATTGAAGACAGAACATAAAGAAATTTATGAACCATCTTTGAGCATTAAATTTTTTAAATAACAACAATAATAATAATAATAATAACAACAAATTCAAAAACAAATCTCAACATTTCCCTCTAAAGCAGAATACAAATTTTGGATGTATTAAAAACTGAGTATAGAAGAGAAGTGGCAGTAACAACTAAAACCATCAATGTGGCAGGGATTTATTTAGGTCTTTCAAATCCTGAAACTCTTAGATCACACTTGAAATTTCTAAGTCAATTATGTTCTTGTAGTTTAAATCAAACAATATATTTGTTCACGAAATTAAATTAATATATTTTTCTCATTCTTAATACTTGATAATGAAAAGACAACTGATGCTAACTGCCTGTTTGAATAATCAGCCACATATCTAGATATCTCTGATATCCATTTAGAAAAATGATGCACCAATCTATAAAGAAAGGATCCGTCATTATGCTCATTTTTTTCAGTAAACGAAACAGAACTCTCAACAGGATTGAGGAAATAACATCAACGAGATTAATCAAGGTTCAGGTCTAAACAAAATACATCATTCATTGCTCATTACAATTTTTAATGGGACACTTTTGCTTCAATACATTCATTAATATGGCTTAACAAACACTCCATCAGGTCAAATGCATTCAGAGCCGAATTTATTAGAAACACTTTTTGGTCATAAGGGACATCAGGTAACTGCTGACAGCCAACCGTAATAGTTACTTCTGATCGTTTTCCAGGAGCCTTTTGTCTTTCTTCGCTCAGTTCACGCAATTTAAGTTTATAATGTGCTCGTGACAGTTTCAAGCCCTCTCGCAAAGGATCAAAGTAACCCTTTTCAAATGATTTGATGTGGTCCCATATACAGGTTTCATTCTTTTCATCATGTAATAACAAAAACCGCAAGAGATTTAGAGCAGATATTATCTCATCTGCTAATTCCACCAAATCGCTCTCGGCGCCATTGGGTAAACGACAGTATCCTGTTACAAGATCATATAAGCATTTACCTTGAAAGAAATTTGGTAAATCTTTCTGGGCAATTTCTTGTCTTATCATATCTTTTAGTAATGTTATTATATAACCAAGTGTACCTGAATGATTGACAGTTTTTTGCAGGTTGCACATCAACAGGTATCTGCCTTTAGTATCAAATTTAAATAAAAAGGATTTAAATATTGTTCCAGCAAGTTTTCGACACTCTTCAACACCACAATACACCATAGCATGGGTGAGAACATCAACAAATTGGCGGTAACTTGGATGTTCCAACTCAATGGAAAGTATTTTCTTATCAGGCAATTTCTGAATAACTGCTTGACTAAGGAGGAGTCCTTTCTTCAGAATCATTACTTCTGGATTTTTTAACAAAACACTAGCATGATGCAAGCATGAACGAAACACAAACACAGGATCATACACTATTGGTAGCAAATGCTGCAGTAATCCCTCAGCAAATATCAAGTAGTACAGAACTGACAAAGACATTGTCGGCACCTTATCTTCCCTGATAAAATAGTGAAGGCTTCCATCCAAATTTGAACTGACTTCTGCATCATCATCTTCAGAAGACTCATTAATTGGCCCATCATAATCCAAAAACATCAATACATCTGGCATGATGCATCCAAGGCAGAACACAATCTCCTCTGCTGACACTCGAGCTGAGCTTTTAGCACCTTCAGAATTCCATTCCAAATCAAGATAAACAAGGGGTTTCTCAAGTATGTGAAGGAGGAATGATATTAACAATTGTCTTTGTTTCTCAATAACTTCTTTCTCTGGTATATCACCATGAACTTCACGAGCAACATTTTCAATAAAGGGTTTATAAAACACACTAATTCGTGAATATAAATCATTTATACGTTGCACATTTGGATCAGCATCCATTAATAGTTTTTCATTTCCTTCCAAGTTCTGATTTTCTGGAATGGGTACTCCCTTAATGTAGGTCTTAATGGTACTCAAACACCAACTCAGGGATTGTTCTTTCCTTTTTGTTAGCTGCAAAAGAACTATTTGTAAAGGTTTCAACAGTGCAGAAAACTTTTCATCACTATCGGGTGACTCAATTTGCTCAAGGAATTCTAATAATGCTTCTTCTGGCAGAGCAACTCTGGCAATTTCTTCCAAAACGGTCTCACAGCTGTTGAAAAGCGATCGTGATTTGAGGTAAGTATCTAATGTCAAATACTCACAAGCAACTCTCACAATTTCCCAACTTTCATCTTTTATGATCTGCTTATTTTCCTTGTCTTGGATAATTTCTATAACTTTTTCGGAATTGTTCGTAGATAATAATTGACTTAGTAACGAGACAAATTGACTCGAATTTTTCTCCGGAACCGGCGCCGCCATCGTAGAAATCTAAATTAAAAATCCAGCTTTTCCTATTTCATTCAGCAGAATACAAGAAATTGCGAGATCCTGGAACAAGCACGCTCCGTAAACAATAACGTCTCTGAATTTGTGTAATGGAGCCTATACGATTAATGTTGCATGTATTTTGAAAAATTAATAATTTCAAAGTAAAGGAGGAATATAGAATTTATTTATTCAGCACCGATATTTGGTTATGGAAACCTGAATAAAAAAGTGTGAGGCAAGTTTGCGAAATCTCTGAAGTTCATTAGCATACATTGAAACATTTGATCACCTAACTTTTTAAAAGGTTTGAACAAATTACAATAACGTACCTTTAACACGTCCACTATTTAATAGAACCACTCTCTGAGCCACGGACACCGCCATTTTTAAACTGCACCAAAACCACACGCGTAAGAGATAACTGATTACAGGTAGACCTCTCAGATTTTGCAAAGTTCGAGTTGTTACTTGAATGTTGACGGATCATCTGATGACATGCTAACAGTACAGAAATATTAGTGGTCAGGTCACCGGCTACGTTGCAGAATAACGGTATTTTCACATAGATTTGTGTCAAGAGGAGCTAGTGAGCGGAGTTGGACGATTCAGTGCACAGAGCACGAGCCACCGCAAGTCTTCTGTCCATGTCTTCAACTGTCTTACTTGGCGTTTCCTGGAGGAGGCCGGTCGCAATGAAGTCGAGATCACGTCATTAAAACAACTATCGGCTACTGCGCTAGCTGCCGATTGACAACTCGGTGGCAAGTAGCGGGCATTATAGAACTGACGAAGAGAATATTGTCAATGTTTTCATGACATTATAGGTTATTGTTTGGCGTATTCCATTTGAATGTGTCTGTGCAAGAGCATGTATGTGTGTGTGAAGAGGGAGCGGTAGTGATGATATGCAACAGGGCCCGGCAACTCTCCACCAAAACTGGGGACAAAGCTCAAGGTTGCTACTATAGGAAGCGCTAGTGTCGCCGGGTGCAGCTGCAGGTTAGGCTCGCCAACTTTCCCACATACAAATTTGCTAATTTGTGAGAAATACGAAAAGTGTCTTATAAATGTACTATTATTCAAAATATATACTTATAAGAAACCACTGAAGAATGCGCGAACATATACGTTATCTTTTGCAACATTATGGGCCTGCTTGCGACCCGCGAACTCACGCAGTAGCCACGCACGTTTAAAGTATCGTTGGCAACAGTTCGTGTTTTAGTTCATGTAAAGAAGGTGATGCAGCAGAGCGCGCCACCGTAATGGTCTCCACCACGTTATATGGGAGTTATAGGGCCCTGATATGCAATGGCTATCCGTGGCCGTCAATGCACAGTGCGCCTCAATGGATTTTGAACCATTGGAAATAGGACCGTTGTAAACATCCCAATTGTACATGTTCATGAAAGTTACGTGTTTCCCTTTTGTTGATGTGCTAATTACTTGTGTATGAAATGTCCACAAGATCGCAACTTACAAAGGATTTGAATGGTAAGTTGTTCACTGCGCTCTGCTTCAAACGTGAAAAGCTTCTTAATTAATATTTGAAACGTCAACAGTGACATGAATATGGTGTGGAGCCAATGTCTAGTTGCCCCTTAAGTTTGATAAAGTAAAATGTTATCGTCATTAATAAACTATTAAACCTTTATTGTTACAGTTGCCTTATTTGGTGTTGAGAATTTATTTACTTCATTAATATTGAAATAACTTATTAATTTCAAATTTAACTTTATTTTCCAAAAGCTGAATGTACATTTACTCTAATCGCTTGATTTATTTACAAATAAATAAATAAGTTAAAAACAAGATTTTTCACATAAACACTAAAAAGAGGAACTTTTTTTTTGCACATCTATTAGAATTACTACATTATTTTATTACACAAACATTCAATAGAACTAGTTTTATTCATGACATTTATGTCTGCTAACTTGTGCAACTATTTCTACTATACATTCATTTCTGTTTTCAGAAAGTGTGAAAGCTTTACTGGGCAAACATATAAAAATTCTGCTTAAAAATGTTGTTAAATTGGAAACAAAGGCAGATAAAACAGAAAATCGTGTACTGGTAAGTAGAAAGGAATTTAAAACAAATTATTTTGAAATTTACATGCACTAAAGCAAAGTTTGATAATTTCATTGTCGTTATTTGTTTTTATCATAGAACCACACATATTTATTGTTATTTATTAATAAATCGCCCAAGGCTAATAACATATACCATACAAATACAATTTTACATATAATAATTACTCTATAGCACCATTTAACAGTACAATTATTATTCCATTATAATTAGTATGCATCTAACCATAAGGCCACTTTCTCTCTAGATATCTGAGTCTTTAAGTTTTTTTTATTTCTTCTGGTATTTTATTACTTAAACAATTCCATTGATTGTTTAATACTGATTTCAATGACTTACTGTTACTTACATTTTCTGGTGGAATTTATTTGCTTGCCACGTTAGATAATTGTGTACATCTGAGTTTTTTCTTACAAAATATTCTGGGAACAATTTATTTTCTAGTCAATAAATGTTAACATCTCTCTTTCATTCTCCCTTTCCACCAACAAATAGCCCAACTCCCTTAGTATTGAACTGACTTTTTTACTATGCCCTTTATTCAAAACTGCTCTTATTCCTCTATTAGTTTTGTTGTAATCTTGCCATTTCCTTTTTATTTGCCATAGTAAGAACTGTAGAACAGTACTTAATATGGGGTACCAAAATTAATTTAATTAACAACTCCTTTCCTTTCTTTGTAATAATTTGTCTTAGTTTGTATAATAAATTAACTTTGTTTGCTATTTTATTGTTTATTATTTCACATGTTTCTTAAAATTTGAGCCATTACCAATAATCGCCCCTAAATATTTGTAATTCTTAACCTGCTTCATTGGTGAACCCATAAGCACCATTGTCTGATTTCTTCTACTTCCTCCCCGATATTAGTTTTTCCCCGTACACCATACACTTTGTTTTCTTGACATTAACACTCAGTTGATTGCTGCACGGCCACTTACATACTAAAAACAATTCTTCATTTATTATTTTAATAACATTTTCAATGTCTTTTCCACTGAAGTAAATTAATGTATCATCAGCAAACATATGTATCTTATGTTTTCCAAGCACCCAGTAGATCATTTATATATAAAACATTAAAATCTGTCTAAACCAGAATCTGTACTAGCCGGAAACCTGCCTCAACCGGAAAATTTCTCTGGCCTGTGAAGTTAAATGGCATTTTACATAGCATAAAATGAAATGTGGCCAACAGACGTTTTTTCATGTCCAGCGAGGGGGAAAATCTTTTGTAATGCGGAATTCCTGTGAATTGGCAGAGAGACACGAGATATTCTTAATGAAAATAATGCATTTGCAAGTCTGTTTTAAATTCTCTATCCCAGTGACATGCAATTTAGTTGTGGCTGCCGCACAGCAGAGAGGGCGTGAGCGTTCTGCGTAGAATTCAACATTGGGATCCCTTGTCTCGTGGCATGGGCCATACAGGAATTCTCTCCCTTCCGACTCTGAGCATGGGAAAGTGAACGTATATGACTTCTATTCACGAATCTCCCTGCCGGCATTGAAAATCATTACCCCTTGGCCGAGGCACACTGCTCAAGGCCATGTGGAGGTGTCAGAAAGTTATAATTCTCTGGGCTGTGATGCATTTTGTACATGTTGAAAGAGTCAGCAAACAGTCCAACTACAGCCAGCCATTAGGTAGTGTTTTTTGTTTGTTTGTTTTCCTTTTTCTTTCTTTTTCTTTTTTTCTTTTCCTTTTCTTTTTTCTTCTTTTCTTCTTTTGAGTTTCAGAGCAAGTTGAAAAAAAACCATAAAACTTGAACCTTAGAGGAAAAGGTCAAATTTACATAAGCAAGAGAAACTCAAAAGCTGTCAATGAAGAAAGTTTAATATTCATATATTAGTGATATCCATTCACCAATTAATAACCACAAATATATTATATGTTAATGTTAATTGTAATTAAATCATGTCATTTACTAGCTTCAGGATGCAAAAATCAATATTACATGTATCATAAAATAGACAACCCTCCATAAAACGGAAACTTCCCTAATCCAGAATTTTTTTTGTCTCAATTGATTCTGGTTTGGACAGATTTTACTGTATAAATATCAGTGGTCCCAATGTACTTACTTGAGGAAAACCATGCTTCACTTCTTCCGCAGACGTACTAAAATTAAACTCAACAGTCTGATATCTTCCATTTAAATAATGTTCTACCCGTTCATAAACATGATCAGTAATACTGTAAATATCATTTAGTTTCTTGAAGAGTACATTTCAGTTTATTGTTTCAAAAGCTCTTTTATAATCCAAGAACACTAATACCACGCTCTCTTCTTTGTCAGTTGCTCTTAATCAATCTTCTGTTACTAATTGTATGCTGATTCTGCGCTGTGCTTTCATCTAAAACTTGATTGATGTTTTGTCAATAGATCATACTTCCTTATGTGCCCTAATAGTGTTTTAAATACAATTCCCTCGGTCATTTTTTCAATCACTGTTAGAGTATTAATCGGTGTGAGACAATTACATTTTGCACTGCCTTTAATTTTAACAAGAGGAACAATTACTGATGTTTTCAATGTTTTGGTAATCATTCTTTGATCGAGTGATTTTTTTAATGATACCTGTTACTCTATTTCCAGTCACTGGCCTCTACTTTTGAATCATTTTACTGTTGGATCCATTTGTATTTTATAAACTTTTAACAATTCTTTCAATTTCTTGCAAAGTAACTTCATTGAAGTTTAGGTTACCATCACTTGTTCTCCTCTTTGGTTTGTAGCCATTTTCAACAGGTATGTTTTCAACTATTTCATTCACACTGTTGACAAAATATTTGTTCAGTCTATTTGCCACTTTATCAGAGCTATATACATATTCTTCTCCTAATATAACTTATTTCATTTGTTTTGGTTCTACTTTATGGTGTCAAATGCTTTCATAATTTCTTTGGTTCATTTTTCCATCTTGGAAACTGTCATCATAATATTCCCTCTTTGCTTCCCTCCAACTATTTACAAAATCATTTGTACATTTTTTTATACTGATTCCATGTCTCTTCCGAGTCATAAATCTACTTCTTTTAATAGTATAAATCTATTTTGCTATATCTCTTTGTATCGCTTTTTCTTTTATTTCTTTTCAAAACAATGGACAAGGCTCTTTCTTCCCCATCTGTTTGATCTTATAGATTCTTGCATACTTTGAATAATGGTTTCCTTAATATGTAATAATCATCCTCAATTCCCGTATCAAACCTTTTAGCATTATCTCTTAATTTTTTATCTAAGATTTGCAAGTTTCTTATAATCTATTTTTCTTTTCATCGAAAATTTATCTCCTCCCCTTGTTCTTTGATTTATCAACATTTTTACACTAACTATATTATGATCAGAGATCTTTTGTTCATCTAATACTTCGCATTCGAGATTCTTATTGTCAGGGATCACAAAAGTAATCAGTGTTTCACTATTTGGAGTAACCCTAGTCACTTTCTTCACCATTTGTTTCATACCTACATCTTCTTTACATGATTTAATCCTTCTTGTTTTAACTCATCTTCTTTTAACCAGTCAATATTGAAATTTCCCATAAATTGTACAGCCTTTTTGGCTCATCTCTTACAACTCTTCTATCACAGAATTAAATCTATCAATAAATTATACCTGTCCTTCACTGGGTGACCTACGTACTCCTGCAAATGTACCCAGTGAGTCAGATTCTAAATATACCTTAATAGCTAATACCCACCATTCTCTTTGTCAAACATCTTCATGTATCACTTCAAATTAATTCATAATAATTCATCTACATAGGTTTCTACACCTCTTGTATGTCTAATATTCGAGTCACTTCTTATACAGGTATATCCTTGAACTGAAACTAAAGCATCTTCATCAATATCCATTAAATGGAATTTCACTTCACCTGTTCTTTTGTAAAAATACTGCTATGATATCTCTCTTAGCTATCAATCCATTAACATTCAAAACTAACATCCGTATTCTACTGTAGATTTTTTCCCTCTTTAATTGCTATGTATTTCCATACTTGACAGCATGTTTTTTTCATTTCTACCCTTCTTTTGTATGCTGGACATTCTATTCTTAAATATTATGGTTCACCTCTAATGACAACCCTAACCTGTCATTCATCTCACAACAATTGTTGCATCTATATTCCTCTGTCTTCTTGTGTCTTTCAATGTGCTATTCTCCACATTTCAAACACTGTAATTCCTTTTTTCAGTTTTCTATCCTATGATAAGCATAACATTTAAAATGTCTAGAAATTCCCAGATATTCACTATGTTGACATCTCTGCCACAATTATTACTTTTAGATACCTCTGTTATTTCAGTCCTTTAGAAGTTATATGTGTGTCATAGTAACATTTTATTAAGTGATGGTTTAAAATAACACATTTTAAAATTGTTCAAGTACTGATGATATTTCTCAGTTTAAATGCATTTTTTTAATTTTCTGAGTTGGTGGTTTATTGAAGTCGTAGGCTTCCACAGCTGGAGTCTTGTGAATGATCTTGCCTGTCTGGGTGATGCCGCATCGAAGGTTGTGTTGTCAATGTTTTGACCATCTTATCATGGTCTTCTTCAGGGCTTGGTGGTTTATTATCTAATGGCATTGCTTTATTGTCTAATAATATTTTTCACATTAACTTGTTTATTGCTTTCCCATGAAAAAAGATAATGGAAGATAATGAAAAGAAAATGTATAAATTTAAACATACAGTTGCTTTGTCATTATATGCTTTCTGACAGCCAGGTTGAAAGTTAACAAATAGTCTTCAGTTCATCAACAAAAAAAGAAGGTAGTGGTTTATTAAAAAAAATTATGTACAAGAAGTTTCTATCAGCTTCTTACCTTTCCCCCATACCCCTATCCTCAGGCTGTAATGGAAGACAAAAAATAATAAAAATGTAAATATAATGTTGGTATTTTTTGAAGAAAGTTGTTGTTGTTTTGAACAAAGTTAGATGCAATAAGACAATACGTTACAATAGTAAGAAATCATAATTTTAAAAAAAAATTTCTAACATTTTGTGAGGATGTTCACATAATAAAGAAATTAAAAAGACACGTCAATTTATATGTATAAAAACATATACAATAAAAGGTACAGTGTGGTAATATTCTGTCAGTTGATTTGAAATAGTATTATCATTGCATAGTATGGAATGTGCGGCTGATGCCCCACGAATTCCCCCGTAGATGTGCCATTGGTATGTTTAATGTAAAATGATATATCTTATCAAAGAACCTTTTTAACAGATTGGTATGTATTTTGCTTGCCTAAATGCTTAATTGTATTCTATGGATTTTGGTAATATTCTCTTTTACATTGTATATAATAATGAGCTATTTTATCTACTGCAAAAAGCTTTGTTACATTTAAAATAATGATAAACCATTTAATATACTCTGAACACATAAGTAAATAGCATTTTAAGACAGGAGTCTATCCATAAATTTTGTAATGCAAATTTGGAGTATTTTGACTCCCTCTCTCTCACCTGCAGTGCACATAACAACCCCTCCTTAATTATAGTGTTAATTATAATGCTTAGAACACCACCTCCCCCCTCTCCCATTTACAATCGGTAATAGTAAATCAAATGATAGTAAAACAATTTGTATTCATTTTATTCATGTTGTACATTAAATTTATTTTAATTAAAATTGGTGATTCTGACTGCACCTAATAATAAGATTGAAGATTTTTTTTGAGTGAAGGATGAATGCACAGGTGAGAAAATTCCTAACATCAAGCCATGCACATGTTGTTTTGGATGACACGTGTTAGGGTCTACTGCACCAATTTAAATGGATTTTAGAATATACTACAAATTCAGTTAACAATCTTTTCTTCATAATTAACAGATTCAATCAATACATAATTGAAAAAAAATATTTCCGTCCATTGCAATAATTTAAGCATCATAGCATCATGACTTTAAAATAAATAAATATATATATATATATATATATATATATATATATATATATATATATATATATATATTTAAATTTAAAAAAATTATTATTTAGTGTAAGACAAAATAAAAGGAATTAAAAGGAAATTGAACAAATATCGGGGACAAAAAATGTCAGCCTAAGGTATCCTTATGTAATCCAGCTGACACCATTTCAAACCTTTCTCCCGTCCTCTTTAGCATTTTTTAATTTATTGATAAATGGTAAACAGTAATTTTATGAAGTTATAAAAGTTTATCTCTCATGGGCCGTAGGAGTTTAATTAGTAAATCTTTAACTTTAGGACATGTTTCTTATCAAAATCTAATGGTATTTTGTTACCAAAGTGTGCTTGAGAATTGACTAGGACTGAAAATATAGATGAAATAGTAGCACGAAAAGGAGTATTAAGTCTCTGGGTTCTGGTACTTGTGAAAGAAAAGTTTTAATAACTGATCTTGTTTATCTAGCATTAGAAATATAACATTTCATAAATAAAAAAACAATGTTTAGTAGCCTTGATAAGTTTCATTGCAAAATTCTAATTTTTTAAAATTTTATTTTTTTATTGTTGCAGGTGTTCTCACCATGCCGACTTTTCCTTCTTACAGCTAAAGTTCCAACTCGGGTAGGTATATCAAAAAAAAAAGGAGGGAGATGTACATGCTGTATTTAAGAAATCATTTCAAATCTGAACTTTCGAAAACACTTTCATTAGAGGTTGTTTACTTGATGGGTTGATTTACTTGATTTTACTCACAGTAATCATTCTAGATTTCAGACTTGTAGGACTACTGAAATATATGTAGACAAAGGCTTTCGTAGTGAGTTCACATTATTGTATAGGTGTTGTGGTAAGATATCTTTGGCATTTTTAAAATAATTAAAGATGTTGTCATTGCCAACAATATTTTTTAATGCAATAGCAGCTTTCGATGGCTTAGTCATCATCATCATCAGTTGTCTGCTAGATGGAAGCCACAAAACGACTAGGTAGTTGACTAGGTAGTCGTTTTGTGGCTTCCATCTAGCAGACAACTGATGATGATGGCTAAGCCATCGAAAGCTGCTATTGCATTAAAAAATATTGTTGGCAATGACAACATCTTTAATTATTTCACATTATTGGCCAAACTATTCAAGAGTTACTAAAAACTTAATTCTTTGAAAATTATATTATAGATTAAGTAGGTGTAATTTTCAGTCTTTTCAAAAGCAGGTGACACTGTATACTACAAATTACTGATATGTAAATTGATGAGGTTGGGTATGCATGGTTCTTCACTTAATTGATTAACTGATTATATTGTGGGTAGAACTCAAAAATTTAATTTTAAATTAATAATATCTTTGGACATAGTGGTGTCCTCTAGAGTTTCTCAGAGTTTTCACTTGAGACTATTGTTTATCATTTTTATAAATTACGTTAAAACAATTTTGTGTAATTGTGAGTTTCTGCTATTTGCTGATGATTTGAAACTGTAAAGCGAGGCATCTGAGTGGGTTAAATGTGTAGAATTACAACTAAATTTAAATAATATAATTTCCTGATCTGATAAAAATTATTTATTACTAAATATTAATAAGTGCAGGACTGTGACATTCTCAAGATCACTCTGAAAAATTGATTTTAACTATAAAATTGTAAACTGAGAGTTGTAAATCAAAGGATGTTGATGTCATATTTGATTCTAGATTGTGTTTTAATCTGCTTATTGAATATATTGTATCCAAGGTTAATAGAATGTTGGGTTTTATACGATGATTCGTCACAGATTTTAAATAACTTTACTTGTTTAAAACACTAAAGTTAACTTTAGTTTGATCAATACATGTATATGCTTCACCTGTCCAGTTATCCTATTATTAAATTTATGTAAAATGAACTAGAATTACTTCAACACAAATTTGTAATTTTTGTTGCTTGAAAAAAATTCAATTTACTATCTGCTTATATATCTCAAGATTATAGTCAAATTGCTACCATAACTATTATAAAATCCCTAAAATCCTCTAGAATGTACAATGATTACAGTTTCTTCTTTAAGATTTGTAATAAAAAAATGGACTGTTTTTAGCTTTTATCTGAACCATATTGGAAAATTCCTTTGAAAATTCCAAACAACGAACAAAAGACTTTTGATTAACTGAGACATTTGTAACTATCTCATAGCTTTCTGTTTTGTTGATGTTATGATCCAATTGATTTAAAGGCAGTTATTTTTTCAAAATAATTTTATTATGACAGACATGAATTTTGGTTTAATTAGTACAATGTTTTGAAGATAGTTGTTTCTTTTTCAAATGTTAAAAGAAATTATAAAAAAATATTTTTATTTTTTGTCTCATTATGAAATTAATAAATTTAAAGCTCTTGAAACATTACCATTGAGATAAATCTGCTATTTTGATAACAACATATTGTTAAATGAGGTCTTCAATATATAGGTTACTGAAAAGAGGAAACGTGTTCTGTGGACATTGGTGTGGTGAGACCTTTGTAAGCAACTAGTTACAAGGTTGACAACTGGAAAACAAGTATTGTTGAAATGTTATACTGAACCAAAATTCATGTAATAATTAAATGATTTTGAAAAAGTAATTCTTTAAATCAATGGGATCGTAATATCAACAAAAAAGACATTTGAATTACTGATTTCAAAATCTAATCTATTTTAAAATGCACTAGTTATTTGTATGTGTGATGTAGCAAAAGTGCTAAAAATGTATCTGTGCTCTCCTGGTTGTGTATACAAATTGCAAGCAAAATAAAATTACTTGAAAACTTTTCATAATTTGTTATGAATGTTTTATATTTTTATTTGTGTAAGAGTGATTGTGTGTAAATTATGAAATAAATAAAATTTCTTGTTCACTTTATCCTTATTTTTAAATATCTTATTTTATATTGATGCATGTACTGTTGATAAATGTTTAAATATTTATCCCTTTACTTCTTTTTATTAATTTTATTTAAAGTTGTTTATATTTGTTGCAGATTGACTCTCACTTCCATTACCTGGAAATTCAAGCGATTGAAAGCAAAAAGAACAATCAGGTTGTGAAGAAATCTTTAATTCTTTAATTTTATGTTGAATTTAAAAATACTAATGTGTTTTATTTTCTTTACAGTTAGTATTAACTGTTGGTGAAAAAGCATACTCTTTCCTTACACATGAAGACTCAAGCAGTCAAGAAGTAGATGCTATGATATCTGCCTTAGCCACAGCAATTCGTAATATCTTCCCAAGTGTGCCTCTTATGTGAGTGAATAGTATAAATTAATTCTACTGGGCAAAGGTGCAATCAGATTTTTCCTGAGGGAAGAGGGGATAGCGTAGGTTTAGTGTTCAGCCAACTTGATGTTTTCTTGTAAAGAATGTTTCTTTATGATTCATAATTTTTATTTTTTTTAATTAAGATGTTAATATTTTTAATGTAAACAGTTGATGTTCTGAACGGCTTACAACATTTTGTATAGAATAATTGTAAAAACACAATTTCTTTTAACGCGTATCATTGGTTTGGTGGTGGGAGAACTGATGCCCAATGAGCATGGGATATTTATTTGGAGTTTGGAGATTGCCTAACACAGAATATGAGCAATACATCATGATTTTTGTGTATCTGTTTTCCTTACTTTCTGTTCATCCAACTTGTGAAATCATTAAGGATTCCTTTAACTAAATGAATCATCTGTGGACCTCTCTGCTAATCGGTAGTTTTATTTTTGATGTGAAGAAGCAGATAGAGAAAGTTCACGAGCCACTGGAGTTTTCAGTATTTATTTACAGTATCAGTGTGTTTTGAAAAACTAACTCTGCTGTTGAATGTAAAAGTTTCTGTCATTACATCAGTTCTCTGCATTATTTTCCAGATATGTTTTCTGTTTGAAAATGTCATTTTTATGTTAAAGAATTATCAAAAAAAAAAAGATAGAGCAAAAAATTAATAACTTGGGAACATAGATACTTCTGTTAATATGAGCTCTGGGTGGTTACACAGATTCCTTGGTGAATACAGTGTGTTACTCTGCTTTAAGATTGGGCCTTCGTACTCTGCTTTGTTCTGTGCTGTCTTTGCACTGCGGTGAAACATTACTTTGTAAAGATCTGTCAGTTCAAGTATGTAATACTGCAATATGATGATAAGAAAGAAAGAAAGAAAATATGTACCAAATAAAATGCTAACTTCCTTTCAGGACTCCTTAAAAAAATTATTTTTCAGTATTGTTTCATCTGACTAGTTGAGTTTTAACATTTTTTGAAGTACCAACTAAATTTGTAGAAATCCTTTTAGGTGAATACAAATCTTGAAATACTTTTGAACTGAAGACTGATTGATATTTGTTTAATTGCATGGTGATTTTGACCTGTTAACACAAAATATTTTATTATTGTTACTATATATTCTTATATCAGTAAAGTTCATTACATATACTTGAACTTGACAGGCATATTATCCGTAAAGTTGATGTGCAACCAGCTATGCGACTGCAGCAACTCGTAGGAGACATGCCAGTTCGTGAAGGGGACAACCATGGCCCATGTGGTCCTTGTGGAGGCTTTTCTACACAGTATGCATGCATGTGCGATTATCATGGGATGCCATATCGAGAAGAAGTGTCATGGGTAAGTGTTGTATATGACCCTTTTATAATTTCTGACAGTGATTTATGTGGAATGTTGTGATCTGAAAGGTTGTGCATTCCATTTTTTTTTAGGATGTGGATACAATCTATCTCTCTCATGATACACGGGAACTTTGTTTGCGTGACTTTGATCATCTTGATCCAAAGTAAGTGAAATGTTCATGAGAAGAATTTTATTATCACAGTAAAGTATAGAGAGAATTATGTAACTATTTCTTTCTTTTAGGGATCTAGTGCCTATCATCAGTGCTTTAGAATTCAATACATGGTTTACAAAACTCCGAGCATCCAGTATTAAACTTACACATGAGGCCCTAGATCGCATTCTACATGTTTGTCGCCGTACCGTAAGCCTTGAAGAACTGTACCTTGACAATCTTGGTATTAAATGGTATGTAAATTCTCTTACGTATGATTATAAATTTATTTGTATTTCCAACCAGTAAATTTAATGTATAATAATTGAAAGTCCTTAGCTTAGGCATTTCTAATTTAGACCCAACTTTTGCTTTGTTGTAAAAGCATTTCAGTCCTAGAAGGTAGATGTTACTCTCTCATATGTTCACAAGTGCACTATGCACTGAACCCCAAACATGATGGAATTAACAATTAAATTTTTGAAGTGATGAAGGTGGTGGTGATAATTGTCCTTTATCTGCAGCAGAAGTTCAACTGGTGGTGTGTTTTTGTTTGTTTGTGTGTGTGTGGTTTTTTATTTGTGTGTGTGGAGGTGGGCATTATTGGTGTGTTACTATATTATTTGGCTAGAAGAGCTACTATCTAGAAAATTGGGAAAAGTCACAGAATTTCATTGATCTGGAAAAATCAAGAAAATCTCTGGGAATTTTCTGAATAATCTTGTTAAGGCAGGGGAAAGTTTGAGACCATAATAAACTATATATTGTTCATCATACTACATTGGTTCAAGCAAGTATTATTCATTTAATAATTTTGTGTGTTTCCTGACAAAATGAGAACACTGACATAATTGGTAACAGGTAACTTAATCTTGCTTTTATTATTTTTTTTATTAAGATAAAATACTCTGCTAATTTATCTGGAGAAAATAAAAAGCATACTAGAAAACTGAAAAAGGTCAGGGAAAATCTTTTAATCGAAGAAAAGTCTGTCAATATATGAAGACAAAGTTTTAATTAGTACATTTAGGTAGCTTCTGAAGATTCTTATCAGTGCAAGGAAATTCACTCGTGGCGGAAATTTGTGCGCGGCGATGGTGTAATGGTTAGCGTATCAGACTGTTGTACCCGATCGAAGCAGTGTATTTTTAAGGGCGAAAAAATCCTTCGGAGGGGAAGTAAAGCCAGCTGTCCCATGTTAGTAGATTTACGTGCATGTAAAAGATCCTCAAGCCTAAATGACGTCTCTGAGCTAAATTCAAATCGCCTTTTTCTCGCCCAAGAAATTCCTCCTTTCTCTGCTAGTTGGTGAAAGGAGCATAGCGAAATTTGCGTGGTCAGACAGAAGAGCTGGCCTAACGGCCTGAGTCTCGCCATGTAAAATAAGGCATTAATTCAATTCAATTCACTCACATTAATGCATCAGCTTTTGTCTTTGTGTTTCCCTGGGACACTGAAAATTCATTTATGAGTAATATATCATATTTAACGTGTTGCTCTGTCTTCTATGAAATAAAAATCTGATTTTGAACCAGCAAAAACTAAAACATATTGTTGGTAGCAAAAAATTGACTATTCGATTCAATTCAATGATGCTTTATTGTATGTGGCAAGACTCAAGACTCAGCCCATCAGGCCTCTTCTGCTTTAATGTCAAAAGAGAAATCTTGCGCACCTTACTTCTTATGACAATTGATGATATTCTCTCTGAGATATATCTACAATTTCCCTAAATGAAGTAGGTCAGAATTTTTGATAGTGGGAGGACCATTCTACATTTGCATAGTCCAGCACAGGTCTGACGTATGCAGCATGGATTGTCTTTATTGCAGAAAGTTGCAAGGTGGAAAAAGCGTTTCTAATTAACTAAAGTATGTGTTGGCGCATTTAATGACTGAAGCAACTTGACTCTTTTATATCAAATTAAAGGATATGACAACTCGAAGATCACCCTGTCGAGCTGGGACTGTCCATGTGTTGATGGGGGATACAAAGAAGGCTCTCACATGTTCCTTTCTCTATCTTTCATCCTCTTACTTTTCATTTCATATGCCACTTACATTCTTTATCATCATTTTTCTTTCTTACTGGCCTTCTCTGAATACTGAACGTCCACCCATGTGTTTGCTGTACATGGTGACTTGTGTCAGAGGGGATGGGTGACCTGGGGATTGTGGGGTCTGTGCATTCTCACTCGTATACTGCCTTGATGTGGGAATCATGGGGGTAAACTTTGTCTAACTCTGTTTGTTGTTTGAACCCAAGCGAGACATATTGACTGCGGTTGTAGGTGTGATTTGTGTGCGTCAATACACTCCCTTTTACTTCTGACTCTTCCAAAACGGGGCTAACCTGCTCCCGTTCAATTGGCGTGGACTAGCTCTCTGACTGAACTCCAGGGTGAGCAGGGGAGCCACAGCGGGGCAGCACTGTGTCACCCCCTTACTATATCTCCATATCAACCCTGGCACCTCAGAGGTGTGTACTCCTCCATGGTGGGTGGGGAGCACGGAGATGATACAACTTCCATCGTATTGAACATTAAAAAACCTTGCCCTATTCTGGAAGGAATAGTTGTTTTGAAAGAACCATGGACTTCAATAGTGTTTTCCTTCAAGATGAAGACAGACTGAAGAAACCACACTTCCTCCTTAAGACACGCAATGAGGAAGGGAAAACATTTAAAAATTTAAGTGCAGTCCGTCTTGCATGAGCTGTGGAGGATAAGTTTGAGTAGCTGTAAGCAGTTGTGTGACAAAGGAACAATACCATTCTCTTTGAAGTTTGCACCAATTAGTAGGTCAAAAGTATCTTTAAAAAAACTAAGCAAATTGCTCCAGCTGAAAGTGACCATTCACTGCACCCTTAATCTTTTCTAAATGAGCGGTCATTCATGTGGACTTCCAATCTGAAAGTGAGGAAGAACTTTCATCTTTTTTAAAAAGTCAGGGCATCATGTGCGAAGGTGTTCAAGACTGAAGAGGAAGGAACATAGGAGAGAGATCTCCTCTCCAAATCTGATCTTACATTTAATCTCCCTTCTAGAAAGGATGGTCTGCAGATTCTACAAACTTCGTGTGCAGCAGTACGTGCCTAACCCATTGTGCTGCTGTAAATACCACAGGTTTGGCCATATGCACAAACAGTGGATGGCAGAATGCCCAGTATGTGTTAAGTGCAACAGATCAGAACACAAAGTGTAGCCCTGCACTTCAACACTGCACTGTGTGATCTGCAAAGGAGACTAGGCGGCAAACTCCTACAAGTGCCCTTCTTTTCTGAAGGAGCTAAAGCAACATCGAACTCCCAAACCCAAAAAAGTTTAATCTATTTTTTGTCTGCTTGCAGGAAATTAATTTTATCCCCATCCCCCGCTTGTTCTTAGAAGTTTTACTATATTCTTACTACATACTTCTTTACTATACCACCAAGATGACAGGCATCATGCTTATTATGGTGTTTTAGTATTTATCTGTGATTCTTTCTTTTCCAAAGAAGAAAGACATCCGAATGGACATCATAACCAAGTGTGTACAGCTGTATCCATGTTCTGCTGTGTGCAATATGTATATTCTACCTGCACAAGCTATCATAAGAAGAACTTGAAAGTGTTTTCTCAGCACCACCCTTTCCAAATTTTCTTACTGTTGGTGACTTTAATGCCCACAATCCCGCCTGGGCTGGCATGAGGTCCTACACAAAAATACTGTTCTCGAAAATATTATTGACCAGCAGAACCTAATTCTTCTTGTGGTAATTGCTTTTCTATGTCTTCAAGCTTTTTCTCATCCATCAATCTGGCGTCCATCCAATCCCATTCCATCCAATCCCATCCCATTCCATCCAATCCGATTCCATCCAATCCAATCCCATCCAACCCAAGCCAATCCAATCCCATCCAATCCAATGCAATCCAATCCAATGCAATACAATTCAATCCAATCCAATGCAATTCAATCCAATCCAATCCCATCCAATCCATTGCGATCCGATCCGATCCGATCCGATCCGATCCGATCCGATCCGATCCGATCCGATCCGATCCGATCCGATCCGATCCGATCCGATCCGTGGTTAGGCTTTATGAGAAGCGTAATGACAAGCTCTTTTTACGTCCAAGTGAAATTCCCAGCCTTGTTTGCGAAAGGCGGATAATGCAGATTAATGTCTTTCTCTTAGGAGTTTTTATATGCTTCTTATCGATTTTTTTTACGATTTCCTATAAAATTTTTGTAATTTTTGTTTAATTTATTGTTATAAATAAAGGTAATGTGTAAATGCATCTATCTTTGCTAACTTGAAATTGGATGAAACCTGGACAGAAATTTGAATCATGAAACGGACATTAGTTATTTTAGTATTAGTTTTATTATGTACGTTTTGGAAGTTACTGCACAATATTGCATGTCTTAGGTAACGCTGCCTGAAAATTGTACATTTTGGGATTTTACTGGATGAATTTTCAATAATTAGTTTTATTGCATAAAATATAATTTTTATATTATCAACTTGTTTTAATTTATCTTTTTTAAAGGTTTCATTTAAGAAAAGACTTATTATGACTAACCCAGCAGTGCATTTATGTGGTCTGTAAAACCCAAGTGCTGTTTCGTAGGTATCAATTCTGTTTCTTTTCTTTTCTTTTTTTTTTTTTTTTTCTCCTTTGAACTGCGCATCTAACCTTTAAGGATGCCTATTGCCTAGTTAAAATTTCTGAGTTATTGCAGCAGGGATATTCTGTGTTGCCAGGAACGAGTAATTAACTATGCAAATCCCGAGGATATTTTTGTAGTTAACATTATTGCATTTAGCCTTCTTTAATTTCATGTCGTGTCCCCTCAGATTGCAGGTAGTGTCGTATGTGTAGAAGTGTCACAATTCTGTAGAGACCATGTAGGTTTCAATAATGTCGACTCAGTCTCTCCTAAAAGATACAGGTGGTATGTCTAATTCACGTAGTTGTTCTTCTAAGATAAATTTTTAAGAGGTTGTAGAAGTTTATGGCAATATCATATTTTCTTGAAGTAAGGATTCCAGACACTAGAGCCATTTTCCAGTATTGTGAAACATACATAGTGTATAGTGTTTTTAGAGAATCCTTGCTGCGATATCAAAAACCACCAAAATATTGCTCACCAAAAATAGTGCTTGTTAATTTTTATCGACTATATCGTTGATATGATCTTCCCATTGTAGGTCATCCTTTATTATAATCCCGATCTGTGACTCGTAATGATGACTGAATAAAATGGCCATTAATGTTGTTATAGTGTCGTGGAATATTTTTACCTATATGTAGTATTGTACATTTGGACTCATTAAGTGGGATCAGCGATTTCTCCATCCAGGAATTCAGAGACATTATTGATGTAGATTTGTAAATGATAAGACTTTTCAAGTGAATTGGCATAGATTTTGGTATCATCAGTGTACATGAAGAAAGTGTTATTCACGTTGCATGTGATATCACTAGTGTAAATAATTGGTCTGAGGACCGATCCTTGAGGGACTAATCTGGCAATGAGACGAAGGGATGATACTTAAGATCCAATCTTCACTCGGAATGTCCTTTCAGTCAGAAATAATTTCAACCTTGTGACAAGCCTGCCACATGGTGAAATGGAAAAGTTTGTGAAAGATGCTGGTGGGGAACGTTATGAAATTTTGCAAAGTCCACGTAGATACCATCAGTTGTAATTTTTTTATCACGGTCTCTAATTCAAGTTTGTGTACAAGAAAGCAAGTAGGTGGTTGCGGATCTGTTTGGGACAAGCCCATGTTGTTCTGATGGTGTGAAACCTTTGTGCTGGGCAAAATCTACGAGTTTATTTACAACAAGGCGCTCCATGACCTTATAAATATATTACATCCGTTTTTGGCATTGTTGATAGAGAAGATTGATTTAACTTTTTTTTTTCCCAAGTGCATTTGGACAATTTATAAAATAAATGACAGCTGTTTCATTGATACTGAGTTATATTGGTTGGTTTAGAAACATCAACTTCAACTTTCAACTTGTGCTTATGGAATAGCTTCTGCAATAGCTTTAACATCTGTGATTTATCAACTCAGATGTGTAAAACGGGGTATATTTGGACTACCAGTAGATTGATAGATAAAGAAACTGGTTATTGATTAAGTTAGTAGGATTCAACTATACTCATAAGCCCTTTCCTAATCCTTTTTCCTACTTGTGTCTAGTTCCAGACCAAGTTGATTTATATTGTGGCAAAGACTTGAACCTTGAAATGAGTGGTAAGTAAAATGGAACAATTTGATGGGGAGTTTTTGCCGAGGTGTGAATTTAAAATTTGTATAAAGCCAAAAACCACTACACTGCTATTTATGCAATTCTGCCTGTGGCAGGTATCAGCTGTTGACTGTTTCAGCCAATCTAGAGCTTGAACTTCACAATAGTGATGTCACTATGTTCAAGCTCCCGATTGGCTTAAACTGTCAACATCTGATACCTACCAGGGGAAAAGTTGTGAAAATCACAGTATAATACATTTTCTATTTCACTGTATTGAGTTCAAAACTTTTAAGTTTGTTTTTAATTTTAAAAAATGATAAAAACCTCATATATTATGTGTATTTATATTTCTTTGTGTCTCTAAAAGTATGCACTGTCAACATATTGTTCTCAATTATGAATTTTGGAAGAAAATTTTTTGCGAAATAATATCCAATGGAAAAGCATCAGATAAAATATTTCTTAAAGTATTTGAAAATAATACTTTGCAGTTTTTTTTTCTTCAGTGATAAAAGAAATGTGTGTCCATATATGTTTTACCATTTAATTTGAAATATATAAATAGATAGAAAAAGGGAATAACTGTAAAAACCAAAACAACAGAAAATTCAGTATTGCATAAGGAATTGAAATTTGTATGGAATGATTTCAAAACATAGCATTAATAAAATATTTAAGAAATAAGATATAACAATTTCATTATCTGTGCATGTTTTCTAAGTTCAGTAGGAAATATAGTGATTCATATTATTGTTCTCCAAGTTCTTTTGCCAGTCAGTTCCTTCACTAAGTGCTCCATGATGGATAATAATCTAGATCTGTAGCTCACTTGCATTTGCAAATAGTTTTTAAGACATAGCTAATATTATTTCCTTATCGATTCTTGAAAAAAACATTAATTTCTATCTGTATTCATCGTAAGGTAGGGATCCCAGAATTTAAGAAAACATGCCAGAATACACTTCTCTCTGTAACATGTGTTACAGTTTTTAACCATTTTTGTCATTAAATTAATAAATGTAATCTTTGGAATCTGATTTTTATTGTTTTAATTTTCGGTAATGTTATGTTTGAATATACTTTTTTCTTTGACATGCAGGGATTTTGTTCATAAGCTCTCCATTGCTCTAATGGCAAACCAGAACACCCCTCTTCACACTCTTGATTTGTCAAATAATATTATTGAAGATAAAGGTAAGAGAATTATATAATTGGGTTTATTCTTTGTTTACTTTTCTGTCAATTTATAACAATATATATATTAGGATTGTAGTAGGAATATACTTGATTTTTATGTATTTGAAAATCGTCAAGTGTTTTGTCAAATGTATTTTTTTGTGAATTTTGTAGGAGCAAATCACTTGAGCAGTCCATTAGCTCGATTACCCAAAGGATTAGTGCATCTAAATCTCTCCCATTGTAGTTTATCGTCAAAAGGAGTCAATCAGTTAGCACATTCATTGTTTCTAAACCAGAGTATGCCTAATACTCTTACTTACCTGAACCTCAGTGGAAATAATTTAAAAGAGGAAATTAATGTGAGTAAACTGTACATGAAACATATTTCTTGAATGAGACTTTAGGCATTTTGATATACTTATTTTATTTATTTATTTGTTTGTTCCAGAACTTGTGTAATTTCCTGGCTCAGCCTAATGTTATTGCTCACTTAGATATATCTGGAACTGATACTATTCTGGAGTCAGTGAGTATTGATACCATTAATTTTGATTGTTTAATTAAATATTGTTGCAAGTTGTGTGATAAATACTTTTTTACAGATTTTTGGTGCACTTCTTCGAGGATGTGCAACAAACCTTGTTCATTTAAATGTTTCTCGCAATGCTTTTAGCACTAAGAAAGCAAAGGAAGTCCCTCCATCTTTCAAACAGTTTTTTACATCTACATTGAGCCTCAAACATCTGAACATCTCACAGTGCAAATTACCTCTTGAAGCATTAAAGTGAGTTTGCATGAATGAATTGAAAAATTGGTGATTGGTGAAAGTAGGAAAGTAGTTTGTTTTATGGGTGTTGCTTGTGAATGGTATTGTAAAGCAGCTGTGGGTTGGTTGCAGGAACTTGCTGTTGGGGCTGGCTTGCAATGAATCGACTGCAGACATTGAATTGGACATGAGCAGCAACAACCTTGGGGCCCAAGGGGCACACGTTCTTGAATCATGCATTCACGGAGTGCGGTGTATTGGGAGCCTAGATATCAGTGAAAACAGTAGGCTTTCAGTTGGGTTAAATCCTTTTTATAGCTAAGGACACAAACATTGCTTTTGTTCAGAAAATGGCATCTCATGAATCACATAAACATTTTATTCTTGATGTTTGTTTTGTACATGGAAAGAGTCACAGAATTTTGATGTACAGTATTATTGCACTGTGTAACAGTTGACAACTATTTTGCCTAAGGGAACTCACTGAGTTTGAGTAATTCAACAGAAAGTCCTTTACTTGTAGTTTTGTCAGAATATGATAGTATCAAAATGTATATACTGCACAGCAATGTATATTCTTTCAACTAAAGAACATTTTTTTGTTCAGAAATATTTTGACTATATCATTTAGAGTGACTATATCATTACCTGTGTGCAACTATTTAAGACGTTTGTCTTTGTTGCATGTTGTCACCAGTAGATTGGCTCTGGTGGTGGACATGGTATCTGAGGGAGATTGTTTAATAATATCAAGACCTGTCTGTTTCTGTGTAAATTATAGTTCTGTACAAACAAAATGTTTTAGACATCTTCAGGATTCTTGGCATATCAACAAAAATTAATTTTACAGCTGGAATGGATGCAGATTTGGCATCAGTGGTCACGGCTGTCAGTAAAAATAAATCCATTAGACATCTTGCAATTGGGCGTAATCTGGCAGGCTGTAAAGCAAGACATGTTGCTGCTGTAATGGATGCTGTTGTGCAAATGATTCAGGTAAAGTTTTGAATTCTCATCTGAAAAGTTTTGTATCAGATGTAATGTTGTATGTATGCCTTGAAATTAAATTTTTATGTATTAAAAAAATTCAACATTTGTAATCTAATGACACTATTTGCTTGCACTGGCATGTAAGATGAACCCTGTTTTCTTGCATTATTTTCAAAGGGGAAGAGTGTATTTATGTGCTTTCAAATTCCGTATTTTTACCACTCCTGATGTGTTTTTTCTCAGACTCAAAATAATAATATGTTCTTCTAAGATTAATGGGAATTTTGAAATAAAACAATAAATTGTAATTGTAATAATTAAGCTTTGAATTTTAGGAAGATGACTGTGTCCTCCAGTCTCTGGCTATTCCTGATTCGAAGCTTAAAGGGGATTTATACAATCTCATCAATGCACTTGGAAGTAATCAGTGTTTGCAGACAATTGATATCAGGTTACTTTCATTTTTTTAGTTACTAATTTTGTCTATATCTACAAATTGTTTCATATGCTCAATTGTAATTTCTCTATCTTTCAGTGGAAACTTAATGGGTGATGCTGGAGCACGTTTACTTGCAAAAGCCTTGCAAATTAACTCTCGCCTAAGAACTATCATATATGACCGCAATGGAATTACTCTTCAAGGTTACTGTGATATAGCATATGCTCTGGAAAGGTATCTTATCATAATTTGTCAATATGGATGTAATTATTATTCATTTCAATTTAATGAAGTATTGAGTGATATTGAATTAATAATTATGTTGCAGTAATTACACAGTCCGTTATATGCCATTTCCCGTTCATGATATTGTACCTTGTATGAAAACATCTGCTGAACGTACTGACACTGTCATGAGAAAAATTCAAGACCTCCTGCATCGTAATGTTTCACCTAAAAAATACAGTAATGGCCAAGCATTCAGACTTCAACAGGTGAATGTTATGTTTGTAAAATATTGTTGTAAAGTGTTAGTAGTAACAGTAAAACCTGTCTCAAAAGAAGCCTGTCAGTTCCTTCAAAATATTTCCGTTTTGGAAGGTTTTTGTCTTATAGAGAGTTGCCAAAAACTCACCATAACTTAAGTAATACAGTATTTTTGATATAATTTTGTTAGGGAAATAAAATAAAGATAATAAAGCATAACTTACCTATTAAAATATTGCAGAAAAAAAATCAATAGCGATACACAGGGGAAATATAGGGTAAGCATTTATTCAGCATTTTCTCCTGTATCAGAAGAGTTGTGGACATACCCTTTATAGACATTCTGACACACTAACACACAGCTTTCCTACACTGTATTCTGAGCTAAATTCCGTGGTTTACACCACTTCAATATTATGATTCCTATGTTAGAATGACAAGACAGCCTTAGCGGAATTTCATTGTTGACTTAAGGAAACCTGGTGACGCATTGGAGAAGTGAATGGGATGTGGACGACCAATATTAAGGAAATTGCTCATCCAAAGCAAAGCCATGCTTGTTGGGACCTTGAAATTCACACCAAAGCACATGAAAGTCACGGCGAAACTGTCTACAAGTTTTCCAAAGATTCCCTGATAATGGGTATAAGAGGAAAATTCATTGTTCACTCTATTGTCTCAGGAGGTGACCGTTTGCACTATGCCATTCCAAAGAGAGTGCTGGAAATTTAAGTTAATTTCCTCCTTAGCCAGGTAATAATCACTTCACTTTCTCTATAAACCATTCTGTTTCTGCATCAGACAGGCTTCCAGCTTATTGATGTCATTTTCACTTATAAAATTGATGTTCTGATATTTTTTGTCCAGGATGGCAGGTTTCTGTCTTATAGAGGGTCCGGCTTTGACAGGTTTTACTGTTATAGTAGTAATTAATAGTAACAGTATTTTTATTAATACTGGTTATTGGAGAGTTTTTCAAAGCATGAGATCAAAAGATGGGATACATTATTTTCTCATCCATATTTTACATAATTTATCTTCTGAAAAAAAAATAGTTTATTTCGTATCAAAGAAATGGAAATATACTTCATTCAGATTAATTTAATTTTGTCAATACAAACATCATTTCCTAAACTTAAACAACTACAAAGAAATATTGGATATAGCTAATGTTACCTAACATTTCTTATTATTCTTTAAAAAATTTAATGACTTTGAAGAGGTTGTGGCAAAAGAGATGTAAAATGTACATTGTAAACCCATTGGTGGTTTATGAAGAAATCAATAAAGGTCAATGAAATTCGTATTTTTGTCTTGGATGTTTATGCTTCTGTGCTGGAATTCCCTCTGGCAAAATTATGTTCTGCAAATAGATACCTGGCAAAATTATGTTCTGCAAATAAATACCTTGGTAGAGAGATTTTCTTTCTTTTTTTTTTTTTTCATTTACTCAAACTACAAGGCAGCTGAAGAGAAAGGGGCTATTTAAGACACTGTGACAGCAGAAAAACATTTGGGTTCACGGCTGTGGTGGCCATGCAGACAGAATTCCCTCCTACAGAGGACAAAATCCCTTGAAGTGATGAGATGGGCACCCACAAATAGAAATGAAAGGAAATTGTGTGTCTAAAGATGTCATTTTATGACAATGGATTAAAGTTGGTTGCTCATCTTTGGCTGTTTTTAAAACTACAGATTGACAGATCCCTTGCTTCTCATATACCATCCTTTCACTTTCTTAAGTCTACATTTCGTCAGGAGGCAAATTTTGATTGACTTTCACTACACATCCAAACCTAGCAAATCCTTTAGAATTCATGTCAGAGGATGCTCAGAGAATTTATATTCAGCACTTTAGTTCACGATTTCAAAAAGTCTTTACCATTATTTTCTTTAAAGACCATCCCACATTAGAAAAAGTCCACAGTGCAATGCAAGATGTTCAGTTGGTGTCCATTAATTTTAACTTCTTGATTAGACATTCTTTAGACTGGATAAAATGCGGGAAAAAGCTTAAGAACTTTTCTTGTATTTTTCAGTGATTTTTTTTTTTAACTGTGTCAGCTGCATGTAGGTTTTTTCACCTGGCTTTCATATCTGAGCGGGCATGATAGACTTGGGTGATTTCTTTGTTTTGGCAGTCTTGGCATGAGGATGTCTTTCCATTGTTCAATTTGTATGGTCTTGGTTCAGGTGGGAGACTGCAAATCAGTCTCGAGGATGATCAAAATGTGGGCAAAAAGTACTTTAGCATTATAAATTAATGTTACTGCAATTAAGGATATCTATTTCTTGCACCAACTACTTCAATAAATTTTGTGTAGGTGTTTGCAGCTTGATACATGATTCTACATGTATTTTACGATTCTTTCCTCTGATTAATTTGTTTTATATATTTATTTTAAATACACTTCAAAATTAAACTTAATTGCATGTAATGCCTATTTATGTCATGAATTGCAAAATTGAATTGAATATCTTTTGGAATTTACAGATGTGTATTGTGAATGTTTACTCACAGTAAGTGTTGCATATTGTAGCAAGGTATACAGAGATATATCAGAACTAACATGAATGTGCAGGGCTTCCTACTGAGTTCAACGCAGCAGATGGTGGACCGCCTGGTGGTGCAGACGCAGGACACCATCCGCAGCCTGGCCCAGCAGGAGTCCTCTGACACAGGAGATATAAACTTTGCCACTGGTCTCATTCAAGATGCTGATAATTCCAAACAGGTGAGTCTTGCAACTGTTTTTGCTCGACATTTGTTTTTATTAGAAGACTAGCTAAAGTACTCAGCATTGTCTGGGAATTTATTACAGTAAATTATTAGCCAGGAAGAGAAAATTGTTTTATGTATGCCCTGTGGCAGGGCATATTCTATTGTATCCCTGCTCAGCCCTGCCCTGTTCAGCTAGCTCTGTCTTGTCATGCTCCCTATTTGGAAATTTCCGGTCTACCTCTCTCACTGTCCCACTATAAAAGTTTACATTTTTCTTATTAGGAGTTCGAGCTCCCAAACATTCCTCACTTAATTACTAAAAATCATAAACAAATCTAAACTTCAAAATGAAATACTTGTTAACTCACTTATATTTTTTTATGAAGTTTTATCATTATTATACCAATACAGTAAAACTTCAGTTATAAATTTTTCAGGGGGCTAAAGGGAAAAAATGATAAGTGAGAAAAAAAACTGAAATTGATTATTTTGATTGCCACTCTCCCTAACAACTTACAAAAACATAATTTTATCTTATATTGAAAGGGGTTGCCTTTTCCTAACACACTTTATCGTTTAATATCACAGGGGCAAAACCACATAGAAGTCGATATATACTTCGATTTAAACATAGAACCTCAGAGCCATAAATTACAGCACTGGCCAGCTTTTATCGAATATTGTCAGCTGAAGGTCATCAATGAAGTTTCCCTGAGGTGGAAGTAGCGCATACATAATGGGAACCTTACGGAGAACCTTGTACGACTCAGTTTCACTGCGGAAATGAAGGCTGTGTCCTGCGTGGGTTACAACTGGCAGTGGCAACCTGCGGTTGGTTGCTTCGGTTTGAAGCTTGATTTTATATGAGATTCTGTGGGTCAAAGCACAGTGTTCTACATGGGCGATAGGAAGCGCACTCCCTGCACTGCGTGAAAAAGCAATCAATTTCATTTTCTGCTTGCACCATGGTGCTACCAAAAGGATCTTGTATGCTAATTATGGTGAGCACAAAGAGTTTTCGGAGAGTGAAACAGTCAGTGCACACCCCTCTAGATATTGGTCATCTACGTTACTCTCTCCTGGGGGACGCCTTTGACCTTCCCTTGGAGCTAGCCTCCTGAGCTTTGCCTCCTGAGATCTTCAAAGAGCTTACCCAACTGAATTTTCGCTGCCGGAGGTGGCTCAGAAGCTGACTTCGCCCTACCACCCCGTGGGCTCACGCAGTCTTAGCCCCTCAGCTAGGCCAAGTTGAGCTTCTATATTACTAGTTTCATTAGTAGTAAGTCGACACAAGGCTGAGTGACAGGTCGCTCCGTGGGAGCTCTCTGGAGAGTGCCAACTCAATGAACATAAAGTTTTGGGCTCTTGGCTCAGGTTGCCCTGTGCCTCACCAGGATAATTTAAATGTTATACAGTTTTAAAGGGACTTTATTACGAACACATAACTGAAATAATTTAGCATGGGAATTATAGGAATGTGTCTGGGACCTACCAAAAAAATGTATAAACGTGAGAAACAAATAAATGGAGTTTCATTGTACTTTCAATAAATTACCACGTTGTAAAACTATATCTTTTTTATATTTTTTTCTTCTATCGTATTCATAAAGAAAGATTTAAAATTGATCTCCTGCCAACTTGTGACTTGGGAGGGAACATAAATATAAATGCTGAAACATCTATGATGTATTCCATTGAGAATAATTTTATATGCAGAAAATGATTATGGGCTTTAATAGGGCAAATAACCATTTGTAGGCTCTATTGGTACAGTCATTTTTATGATATTGTGAAGTGATGTTGTGTGTGTATAATTAGTGTCAGTGTCAAAAACTGTTAAGCAGGTCTAAAAATCTGATGGCTACACATAAGGTAATGCTGATATCCTGTATTTTGTAGTTGCTTCCAAGACTGCAGGAGGCTGTGCAGAGACGAGAAGAGGCTGCAGGAGGACCTCTTGACACAAGATTACGCCAAGTAGCAGATGATGTGCATAATGAAGCTGTCAGCTGCCTCCAGGGTGCTCTGGATGCAATGTTGCGGTGTGCTGAAGAGCAGTGCCCTCATGTAGTGGATTCTCGTCTTCAGCAGGAAATTAGACGCGCTTGCACCAGCAAAAATCATCTTCCTGCTGAGTTTGTGCGTTCAGCTGTTATAGAGCAGGCTGGAACTGACATCATCAATAAGATAAAGTTAGTGTTATTCCATAACTACAAACTAATATATGCCATGTTTTCACTCTATTGGTAATTTCAAATGACATTTCATAATTGAGTAATTGACTAAATTTGCTGTTTTTAGTGAACTCAACTTGGCAGTAGCTGCACATGTGTCAGATAGAGTGACAGATGAAGTGATTGAGATGTTGTCAAGAACCTACAAGTCACTGGTAGGTGGAATTTGAAGCTTATTTTCATGATTTTGAAGCCTATCCTATTTATGGGACAGTGGTGATTTATTTAGCTGTAATTTTTTTATTCTAAATTGTGTATTCTTATGTCTCTTGAATACAAATGAAATTTTTATTTTTGTCAGCATGTGTTGCATCATCTCTACTTTTACTACTTTGTATTCTACTGTTTCAATATACTTATGTTCAGACATTACTCATTTTCTTCAGCTGTTTATTCATTCATGTGTTCATTCACTGTATAATTTCTTCTATAGAAAAACACTCATAAATAAATCTTAGAAACATTACCTTAGAAAATTTCAAAATTTTAAAATTTGTTAAAAAATAATCTCTTGTCTTAATAACCAAACTAATGTAAAACATAGTCTTCTTTTAAATATTCTTTAGTACTGCATACACCACACACAAACAAACACATACACAAACACTGACTCTCTCAGTACATAAAATGGCCTTATGTACAAATGGCCAGTGTCAAGTTTATCATGTTATTTGGGTAAGTATCTTATTGTATTATGTATTGTTACTTGCACTTATTTTATCCTTTTGCACCACTTATTCATATTACATTACAAAATATTACATTAATTTTCAGGTGGGGGATTCTGGCAAAAAACGTTCTTCCACCCCTGATGTTTTACGTACTCGGTCAAGGGTTAGCTCAGACTCTTGTCACGATCCTAGTGAAACCTACTCTATGGCTGATACCATCAGTCAACAGTCAGATCAGTCACCAATGGTAAGCCCAACTCTTGAACAATTTGTCTGTGTTGCTTCATTTGTCTTAGCTGTGCTGTTCAGCAGCTAATGGTGTTCAGTTCAGAGTTTCAGTTCATCCACTTATATCAGGGTCTGTGAATTTCTGTGTGAGGAGCCTTGTACATAGGCAGTGCCTCCAGCTGCTGCCAAGAGGGCTTCATTCAGCCAGCTAGTGAAGGTTTAATTTTTTTACTAGCTTGTGCATTTCATGTGTGCCGAGAATGCATGTCAGAACATTGCCCATGTGTTGTCAAGCTCATTATTTCTATATCACATTTTGATGGGATGGAAATGACACCTGGGAAATAATCTGACTTGAGGTTTGGTGTGTGCTGAAGTATGCAGTTCGTTTCCTACAGAATAATAGTTCCCAATTAACAACGTGTTTTATTAATAAGAGGTTCCCAAATTTTTTCAGTCGCTTATCACCCTGCAATAACTCATTTTATGAACATATACAGTTTTTTAGGCCTGTTAATTTGTTATTATGTTCTTTGAAATATTGAAGGTTTTGTGAATCCAGCTACCATCAATGCAATATTTCATTTATTGCTTTCATCATGATTAGAATTTGTGACCTTTTTCTGACAGTGCACGAAAATTAGCATCAGATCGCAGTCTACACTTTGGGAGCCTCTTTAAATGATTTGAACATCTTTTAGCAATGTATGATGAGTATCTAAATGGGTTCTTGGCTGCTATATTTTTTACATATACAGCGATGATTAATAGGCCTCTTCATTATCATTACTATTAAATATCAAATTGGTGGGTTGTTTCAAAATAGTAGGAATTTGAGTGATAGGGTTGTAACTGTATATAATAACTGTAACATAATATGAATCCACGATTTAACATACAACTTTTCTTTAAAGATTATATTAAACATACACTGATGAGCCAAAACATTATGACTACCTGCTTAATAGCATGATGGTCCACCTTTGAAGTGCACTACTGCAGAGATTTAGCAAGGTTTGGATACATCAAGTCCTTGGTAGGTTTCCAAGGAACCAGTTGTTTGTGCATTTGTCATATAATCCCCTGAAATTTTGGACTTAACCTGTGGGCATGGAGATGGTACCAGACAGCAATTCAGATGTGTTCAATAAAGTTGAGGTTAGGTAAATTTAGTAGTTAAGACATCAATGTGAGTTCATCAAGATGCTGTCATCATCAGGGAAGACATCAAGCATAAAGGATATCATATAGTCCATCATGTTCACCGAGTCCAGTTTTTGTAGTGCCATTGATCACTACCACAGATGCCAGGAAAGCCCAGGTGAATGCCCCCCACAGAATAATACTGGTGTATGTCTATGACCTAGGGATTGACCTGTAGTTTTGCTGTTTGTTCAGAAGACAGTGTATCTGGGGGACGGCACATCAACCGTGATTTATCTGATTGGGCAAAGTTTCGATTGATCTATAGTTCCATGGCAATAATTCTGTGCCAACTGCAATGTTGTTGAGTTATTGGAACATTTAGCAGTCATTTGCAGTGAATCCCCATGTTCATGATGTGTTCTAAACAGCGTGCTCCAAAACACTTATACTTCGCTCTCAGATCTGCCACAGATTGCAGCCTATCCTGCTTTAAGAACAGAGAAGGCTCTGATGTCCACATTCGTTGGTGAAGCATGAACATCAAATAACATGCACATTTGCACAAGTCACATATGTGAGAAGATTGCCCCATTTGCGGCATGTGTTGTTGCTTGAATGATTCATTTGTGTCTGCTGGGCATTCATACCTTACTTATCATGTCATGTACACCCCCCCAAATGTCACCAGGATGCGCTTGTTTTGGCAACGGGCAGTGGCCATAATATTTTGACTGATCAGTGTATTTGTTTTTAACACAATTCCATTTTTGTTTGAATTATTTAGAACACATAAAAAATGAGCAACTCTTATAAATTCAAGAAATGCAATATGATGTAAGAGTAGATTGTATACCCCTAAATGTTGTGACATTCATTTTTCATGGTTTGTATTTATTCCAAATGATTTGTAAGATAGATCACGATTAAATGAATAGTTAAAACTAGGTTATAGGTCATGTGACAAAAGTGTTACACAAAGTCAGCAGGAACAATGAAAATTTGATGGAAGACCGGAACAAATCTTTAAGATAGCATTATTTACTTTAATATCCTACTATATTTTCATATCAATGGAATATCAAGATTATTTGTAGTTTGTTTGTGTTTTTATGCAAAAATTTATAATTTCCTTCTAATACATTATTTTAAGTGTTCAGATCATTAACACTTCTGTTACTCGGTTGATGAGATAAAAGGAAATGCTGTGTTGGCTTCTACTTTAAATTCTGTTAATATAATGAAAGAATTTTCCCTGAACTGAGAGTGTGGAATGTATTGCAGTTAATACTAATAATTGGTATTTCTTTTTCAATCTCGCCAACATGCTTCTAGAAATTGGAATATTTAAACCTTGTAAGTACAACGCCAGTTGCTATTCCTTGCATTTATTGCACTTTTCCTAGCATGAGTACTGTGTTTTCAATCTCATATAAAGAGATATTGGTAATGAAGTATACAGATAAAGATGATGGGAAGTTTGCCGTCAAAGGGGAACTATTACATTTAACACATGTCTTCTGATCTTTTCTCTATCGGTAATATGAAATTTCAGCATGAACACTTAAGTCCGCCCTCAAGAGTTTTCAAAGCATATGTGCTGATGCTTAATCTCTGTAATTTATGTAAATAATATTAATTAGCATTCTTTGCATGATACTTTTGAATTCTTCATGAAAAAAACTTTCTTTGAAGATGTTTTATTTTACAAGTATAATATTGGTATACCTTTCTTACAGATACTCTGAATTTCAGTTGTTCACCAGTATGTAGTTGCATATGCATGTATAATGTATATACAGACATATTAATGAAATTGTGATTTTACTTTTTAAATTTGATTATTATTATTATTATTATTATTATTATTATTAATATTCCTCTTGAGAATCTCCTCCAGGTACTTGTAAAGTGGTTTATAAGCTTTGCATGAAGTGCAGACTCATGACATGAAATCTTTGTATTCCTGTCTTGGAAGTGTTTCTTGGTTCGGTTGTTTGGTTCCTTAAGTATCTCTTAACTTTATGTAGGTATTTCTATTCTTGCGTCTTCATTAATATAATATATTGAATTACAAGCTGTTGAAAGAATTTTGTTGAAACACATTATGAGGATTTATTCAGAATCGAAGACATACATCTGGCAATTTTTGAATGAAATATAGAAACTTGAAATATTTTTCTTTTTTAAAAGACTTTTTTAAGTTTAGGGATACAATTTTTATGCATTATTTGCCCCTATTTATTCAGTAAACATAATGTTTGTTGATATTTGGAAAAATAGAAGTCTTACAATATTTTATAATTGTTTTACAATTATAAATTTTGTTTGCAATGGCAACCAAAAGTAATAACTTTTCAATCAAATCATAACTTCACTAGAAACTTAACTAAATGTTTCAAGATTTTTATAAGAGTTAATATTTTTTATATCAAATAGCTACCAAAATTGGCAGAAAATGTGGTAAATTAATTATTTTTAAACAAAATCAATTTATATTCTACTTGTTCAATATTATGCAAGATAATGGTACTAAATATATAAAATGTCTCTAAAAATGAAGTTTTAGAAATTTTGAAAATATTTAAACTTTTTTAATGTTTATTCAACAACCAAAGTGAACAAAAAATTTAATAGATTTCATTTGCAATCTGGCCAATTTGTTAGAAAGTAGTACTTGTGATTTGTTCTTTACACTGGGTTGTTGTAACTGTTTATTTTGTTTCCTGAATAATTACTGTTTCTCTTAACTCTCGTAATACTACTTGTGGGTGTCTTAAAAAGCTTTTCCCAAATTTATTACTATTCGTATACATAGAATTCTGAAAAACATTTATTTTGTATGCTTGAAAAGAGTCCATTCTGGAATATTTTCTGTGAACAGTAACAGGTCCGTCAAACTAAACAAATCAAGTGAAGTAAGTTATGATATGTAAAGTATATCACAATAAAAATCTTAAATGGGAGTGAGGGAGCTGTTTATTTATTTATTTATTTTTTTTTCTTTCTTTGCTTTTTCTCTACCTTTATATATCTTCATAACTATTAATCCTACTGCTAATTAAAATCTAAAAAATTAAATTTGACATTTCCGGCAAACAAATCTGATGAGGTTTTGTTGTAGTGTAAAATAATGGCATTTCAAATAATTACCCTTCACTGAAGATTCATTATTACATTTAAAGCAAATTAAATGTAGTTATGTAAGTTTATGAAAATAACCAACATAGCCAAAGGTTCTGCGAGCACATCATCAAGCTCCTAGTCTTCTAGTGAAAGGCCACTTGTATGTTCCCTAACAATTGCCTCTCGCCTCCCCACCAATATTGCTTCATGTTGATCCATACTTATTTTCAAAGACTAATGTAATGAAGAAGGTTTGGTTCTTCTGGAACAGTACAATCACTATTCATATTGAACACAAGAGTTAATCATGTTTCTCAAAATGTAATTAATTGTTTTATATTCACCAAGATCTGGTTAAATACGTTGTAATAGCAGGAAATCCTCCTATCCATGGTAAAGTGTTTCGTGTATTAATAAGCACTGGAATTTTTGTAAAGGAACACACAAATTATTACTAGACATTGTGTTTATGTGCACTCACTAATCTTAGAATTTAAAAACATTCAATGTTCAAACTAAAAAAAAATTTATTAATTTTACAGTTTCATGTAAAGGTATTATTATGTGCAATATCAAATTTATTATATATAAAGATAGAAAATAGAAATTGAAAAATAGATCAATTTATTTTTAATTTATTTAAATATATATTTTTTACATGTAAAGAAATATTTAAATAAATGAAACATTATGGTAAAGTACAAACTGCATCCGAGAACACAATGAAGATTTAAAGAGCCCTTAAGGCCTTTCCTTGATTTTTTTGTTTCATTCTGTTACTTTCCTATTCCTTGCATAATGAGGTAACTTGAGCTTAAATAGACAATTTTACAATTTTAAATAGAATCCCCTCTGTTCATCTGTATCAAAAACCCTAATGTTACTGGCAATCTGTGTGATAGGGGTACCTGTACAAATGTGGGTGTTTGAACCATTAGAATACCTGCATGAACAGGTCCCGGATACCCGCATGACCAAATACCTGTTAAACTGCTAGACCTGTACTGTAAAGTTTATGTAACAGTTATTTTGAGATGGGCTTATTTGGTCTTCTGAAGTAAGATGAAGTGGCATGCTGAGCATCATGCTTCAACCGGATAATTTTACCCAATATTTACTGATAATAAAGCCAATAAATTCTGGTACTGACTTGGAAAAAAGGCTTAGTGGATCTTAGGACCACCCAGAATTGCTGTTTCTTAAGAGAAAAAGATATATGCAAAACACTTGGAAAGTCTTCTGTTAAATAGCTCCCCAATCCCCCCCGTTAACACCCTACTCTCAAATATTTTTAGTAAGATGCACTGTAAGTGCCAATGAACAACCATATCAAATTTCAAAACTGAGATTTTTTTTCACTCAGTCTCCGTTTTTGGAAATAATTTGACTGGCATGAAAGAAGTAGATGTAGATTGATATAATATTGAGTATTAACTGATAAACAACTTGTACTTGGATATAATTTTTTTTAAATTGTTTGTTTTAATCTTTCTTCATTCGTAAGTCATAAAATAAATATTAATAGTGTTTTCTCTAAATTCTCACTGGCGTAGTAATATTTGTATCCACCTTAAGATCTTTTAGTGCTCATAGACTATAAAATTTTCTTTTATGCAGGCAACTCCTCATCTTTCAACGAAACGAAAAAGTTTGCATGGTCGTAAACTTCGACCCAAGTCTGTGGTAGACTCGGTTGAAGGTCTTTCTGCTGATGATATCCCAGATTTATTACCTTCACTTCCAAAATCTGCTGAAGGTGAGCCGTAATAGAAAATTGAAAATGTTAATTAATTGGCAAGTTCTCTTTATTGAAACTTTCTGCCTTTACTCAACTTTGTAAATTAATAAATAATTAAAGTTGTTTCTTTCCTTCTTAACATTTTCTTCACTTCCTTCTTTTTTCTTCCTTCATTTCTTTCCAAAAAAATTAATTTTTGAAATCCTCTTAACATTTTTTAACATTTGAATAAATGAATAGATTTCTTTTGTCATAAATAGAAAATATTCTTAATTATTAAAACGCACATGATTACTGTAATACTTAGATTTGAATAACTTGATATACTTTGAAGGTGGTTTAAATAAAATATTATATATATTTTTGTTTTTGTTTGATAAAAAATGAAGTCATCATTTAATGAAGTATTTAATAATTTGCAGTGTCTTTACCATCATTGTGGTTGTGTTGGGCCAAGTAAATGCATATTTGTTCATTTATCTGGCCCTCACGCACTCGCAATGATGATCATGATGCTATCATAATAGCTTTCTAGGAAAAATCATATAATGTGATTTAAGTCATCTCTTGAGCTGAATAAAAAAAACACCATCACTACTTGATTTTATTTGCTTTCCTCATTTGCAGAGTCCCTTGATAGTGTTGCTGAATTACCTACATCAAGTGGTCAGCAGTTACAACATCTAGTGAAAGGGCGACCTCGACGTGCGAAAACACGCGCCCCCTCTCGACCAATGTTACGACCTGCCGATTCTGCAGAAATGCATCACCTCGGTGAAGGCCTAGACTCCTTTTTCCGACCAGGTTCAGTTACACCAACGGGTACTCCTCTTGTTTCCCCAACATCAGATGACAGGTGTGTTTTAAGTTAATGTGTTTATATTATAACTCCTTCCAAGATATTTACATCTGGATATTACACAGTCTGATTCTTTGTAAAAAGGATAGAGAAGTGAAATTATTTGAAACTAAACAGAGATTTTGAGAGTAATATTTCTTTGTTTCAAAACAGAGAAACATGTTTGATTTCTCTTTCATTAGAACAGAGATTAGGATCTGAAGGTGGTGAAAAATGTCGCAATTACCTTAGTTTTTATAGTTGATTAGGTTATACTGTGATAATTATGTACATGGACATTTGTAGTGCATCCAGATATATGCCAATATAACAAGTACTTTTTACCTATGCAGGGATGTATGGGAATTCTCAACATTATCTCGTTTGTATGTTATATTGTAAGGAACAGCAGCTGAGATACTTCCTTGGTGCAGCTTCCTTAGTACCTATTACTACCTATTAACAGCACCTGTGTCGTCAGCTGATGCCATCAGCTGCATCAATGCCTGACCACACTTTGTAGAGTAACCCCATATCTTATGTAAAACGTAATATGTGTGCTTGCGTAGGTAGGCATCACGTAGGTAGAAAACACATGTTATTTTGACTTACTTTGTAGCTTGAGCTGTGGGCACAATGCACATTTGGTACAATAATGGGTGCTGCTTCGCATAAGATACTGAGTTAAACTACGACTTGCGTGAAGTTACTTGTGTGGACAGGCATCGATGCAGGTTGACTCAAATAATGACGCATGTCGACACAGTTAGACAAAATGTAGTGCTAAAACGGAAAAGGTTTCTATCAAAATACTAATAATGCCAAAATAAACTGAATTTAACTTTCCTTTTACATTTTGAATTGCATTTACCTATGATCAGGTTTAGATACTGTAGGCCCCTGAGCACAAAATTGTATTGTGGCATTCCTTCAGAAAAATACCCTCCAGATTTATAACGCAATACCAATTATTATAGAATAACATTTTGTGCTAATGCAAATGCAAATTAACAAATTGCTCACAGAATTGAATGAACTCTTTTAATTTTCAATTTTTTATTGCTTTTATCAATTCATCCAAATTTGTTTGGTACAGCAGCCTTACTTCATTAACAATTGTTTTTCACCTAAAAGCATGTTTTGTCATGTTTTAAAATATTTTATTGAAAAATCCAGGTACAGGACCCATTAAGATGGAGGCCCTATGCAACTTCGTATTTTGCTTCAAAGGAAATCCACCTCCACGTTGTACTATATCTGAATTGTTAATTTTAACACCAACAAAAAAAAGCATCTCATCTATTCAACCCATTTGATGTCGCTTAAAAATCTATTTCCTATGTCTTCGTGCATTGAATGCTAACCGCGGTTAGTCAACTGACTGGGCATTGACCTTTACTAAGGGTTGCTGGTTCGAGTCAAGTGTAAGATGCGACTGTGGTGTTGAAAGCAATATCAATCCATTGTGTGCATTATATAAGAAAACGGAGAGTATGAATAATTCTCTAATCAACTAATGTTTGTTGTGAAGTCGAAGTCGCAAAGAAGCCGATTCATTGCACCATTCAAAATAATAATAATAATAATAATAATAATAATAATAATAATAATAATAATAATAATAATAATAAAACTGCACTGAATGTATACAAAAAAAATTATAATCTTTCAAGATTACCCATTTACTTGTTGATTCTAATGTCAAAGTGATTCATTTAGACAAAATAAGAGCTCTCTTAAAAGAAAAAAAAATTATGGTCATTTTAGATGAAAACTAGATGCTGAAATCAATTCAATCTTTCAATTATTCTATAAAGAGGGAGTGTTAAATGAATTATGTATCTCTCTCTAATCACCTTAATTTCTTTGAACTAAAAGCAATACCTTGTTCTGAAGAATATTGATGAACAGACCAAAGATTAGGTCAATAACAATTGTTTCTTTAGTGATGTTATTCTTCAGAAACCAAAATCACTCTTATTTTCATGCAAGCATCTGACTGAAACATTTCTTCATACGATATATGGAAATTTGAGGAAATTTCTTTTACGTTAACTTCAAGGATTGGAAAGTCATGCCTTTCTTTCTTTTTGAAAAATGTACTTTGTGTTTTATAGTAAGAAATCTTTATCAGTGTGTGTGTGTTGTTTTGTTTTGTTTTCCTCCATTAACATTTACTGTGGGGTACTCCTCTGTTAACGTTTTTATTTTACGTCTAGTGTCCAGTCTCTTCACAGTCAGTTGTCAAGAGGACAGCCAGGTAGCATGTCCACATACGCGCCTCCTACCACAAAATATCTTTTGATTTGTACATTACCTATACAAACATTTCTGTTTCGCTATAAATTATGAGTGTTTAATATAATGAGAAATTGTTTAAACAATGAAATTTTAGTATAATCTTAACTATATCCACAGTTCGCATACATTCCCTTTGGACGATAGTCCTAACCATAGTACTGGAGGAGGACGTGATGAATGTCGCTCATCTCGCCCATCAGGATGCAATGCTCCAGGAAAATGTGGCCCTGAAGATGATAAAGGTGGAGGTACAGCTGGCTGCGGTACCCGTAAAGAAGTTGCACATAGGTAGTATTTGTTTATTGTGGCTTTATCGTATACTATTCTGAATTGTGCTTACAAACATTCAAAAAATAATTTTCTTGCGCAGTTCCCCTTTATTGAAAGGTGTGTCAGGATTACTGGAACCAACCCCGAGATCTCGTTCAAGTGACAATCTAGAAAAATGTTCCCCTCTCATTGGCCGGCGTTCTCAGGGAGATTCTCCCTTGACAGCTTCACCTCTGGCAAGACGTTTACTGGGTCATGATGAAAAAACTGATGGTAAGATTTCCTCTAGATTTATTCTATTTCAATGAGTTTTATTTCTTCTCTTAACTTAATTTCTACTTCTAATGGAAACTGTGGAAAAGGAATGAAAATGCCTAATTAATCATGTGGTTCCAATATTTTATACTCTGCATTTAATCAGTGGTTTAATCCTTTACATAGTACTTTATTGGTAGTAGTAGTACTGCTACTAATGTTCATAACTACTTCATTTTTTGTAGTACTGTATAATTCTTCATTATTTCTATACTAGTGAACAGGTTTCACTTAAACTAGTGTTGCAACAGCACACATTCTCATATTAATAATGGTTGCATAGTATAATATTGCATCTTCTAACTCATTAACACTTCAACCATTACTTGATTAAATTCCTAACCAAAGACAGAGGTGAGCTTCAAAAATATATAATTATATTTCCTGTTTTAAAATTTAAGAAGTTTGAATAAAAATGGCTTTTTGCCAGTAAATTGAGTGTAGTAAGCTATACTTCTACTAAAAGTTTTGTTGGAATTATGGACAGCACACACCCCAATCTATCGACACACATCTTCCCCTGGTTACCGACGGATTCTGGCGGATTACAACTAGTGACGCACAACACACTGTTAGCACCCACCAAGCACACACATTCTCTTAGACAGTCATGGACACAGTACAGCACTAGAGTCGAAGAGAACACAGGAGCGGCAGTTGATTGCTCGGCATATCAATATGTACTCTCCTGATGGGATTGTATCGCCCTGTCGATAACTCCAAAAAGTTTCAAGAAAAATGAATTTAAATATTTATTTGGGCTGGGATTGAAAACAGTGTTGTCGGTGAAAGATGCACATCTTTCATTTGAGCCATTGTGACATCACGCTTGGCTTTATTGTTTATTGGGCCGTTTATATGTAATGTTTGGGTGACATGCACATATCAACCTGAAATTATGCAAAAATTACTAGAAGATTGAGGAATTCTGTGTATCAACAAATAAATCTGTAGCTTCAATATTGAAAGCTTAAAACAAGTTGGAAAAACATTGATCATTTACAGTTGTCAAAATTCTAGAGGTTTTAATGAAAATCTGACCTATGTCATATTATTAAGTGATTTTCATTCTGTTTGAGCAAATAATTTTAAGAAAAAAATTGAATCCACTTTTGAGTAATTCTTGTTTAAAAATTTTTTAAAAAAATTATCTGAATGCCACTGGAAATTGCATTGAAACAAACTTTAAAAAAATTACATTAATTTAAAACAAATCTGTTTAGTAATACAAATGGGGGAAGGGGCCGAAAAAATAATTTTGATTTTTTTTTTACTAAAAGGCTTCAATGAAAATTAGAACTTTGCTGATGAAAGTACTGTGTACTTTTTGAGAAAAAGAGTTATTAAAAAATTATTTTTTATTGAAATGTTCATTTAAAATTCACAGGACCTCAAGTGCGTCCAAAACGAGGAATATTCATTTTGAGAAAGTCCTTTGTACTATGTTTGTGATCATATTGGCACCATGTTGAGAGGGTGCCAATGTAAGTGCCCTGCATCGGTCATAAGTAATTAATCAATTGCATGAGTGACCCTTAACCATCTGACTTACCTTGTTTTGAGCAGATGTCTGGTTACTTTGAAATATGTGCTATGACTAGACTAACATTGCTTGCAAGATGTGCAAAGAATTCAAATATGAATCTAATTATTCTAAGTGGGGGAGATAGGGGTGATGCATTGAAGATGGAAAGTTACTACTTATTTAGTAGTGATCCTAATATTCCAAAGGCCTTAAATTTATGTATAAGCAATAAGAGGTTCACCGAATCATCAGCTTTATTGAAGTCTGTGTAAATGCTTTAACATTATAACATTGTATTAGGAATGTAACCTATTATATGTAGATAAAACATCAGAGACAGCATCTATGGATGGACCTGAAGGAGCATCTCCTCGACCTGGAGTGGCAGCTCGCCTTCGAGTTGGAGCAGAGAAACGCAATTCAGGGGGAGCTCTGCGCCAGGTAAGCTCTTAGGTTCTTGTTGCAATTTCATGTTAACCACAAACTAGTGGTATAAAATAGAATAACTTTCTTATAACATAAAATTGTAGTAATTTTGTTGCAATTTGGTCTTGTTGTCTTTGTTGTCTTGTAGAAAACTCTTCACCAAACAGTTCAAAACAGCATACAGTTATGTCATTTTCCTGACATGGCCCACTTCCCATGCACCAAGACCCACCTTCATTAGCAAATTGTACTATATGCAGTATATGGTCGAGAACGTAACAAGAGTTGGGGCAGAAGTCATAGCAACTATTTTGTTTCTAAAAGAACTGTTATCAGATCACACAATTTTATTTGTTGTATGAAAGAAAGATTATAATACTGTGTGTTGTTAACAACAGATGGCCCTGTGAGTGTCTATTAGCACAGAGTAATGTGAAATGAGTTGAGAAGTGCTACCTTGCAAGATGAATGTAACCAATTTCGTCCAGGGCTTAAACTTCAAGACAGCTGTTCTCCATAGGACAAATGTCAAGTCAGCTGTTCTCCATAGGACAGATGTCTGAGAATGTCACAGGGACTTGGTGGCAACTCTTGGGAATAACGCTCTTTTATACCGCGAGACGGACAGAAGAGTTTCTAGCAAGATGCTTAGCAAACCAGTAATCGGCAATGCATGTACCAGACGGTGACTGTGCCGACTTGCCTTTTCAGTAATCAAACATCTGTCTAATCAGGCTTTAGTGTGGGCATGTATTGCTTTTGAATAATGTGAACTCATATATGCTAATATGCTTTGGATTACAAAACCACTAATGTCATTTCAAATACCTTAATAAATATGAGACACACAATTTTTGGATGTCGTTAAATGTCCATGCACTTAGTTCTTACCTTGCCCTTGCATGTGTATATTATACATTTTCCACTCACGCTCGCATTCTCATAAAAAAAATTGTTGCCATGACTTTTCTCCCATCCCTCATATGATCAACAATTGCCCTTTTAACCCTGACTTGAATTTGAAAAAAACATTAAACAGAATTTGTTGCCATAGTAACAATAATCTTAAGCCTATTACACTTTATGTGCATTGCAAATGCAAATTTATTGGGCCTTTTGTTAAGCTAATCAATTGTAGAACATTCATTTTAAAAAAAATTGCTGTTTGTAATTTAGTCATTATTTATTGTTGGAGGGGGGGGGGGACAACTAATGATTGGTATCAAAGTCCTTCAAAGTGGTCAAAGCATTATTTTGTCCAAATCTTGACATCAGTTATTTGAATAACTTTCTATCTACTACTTATTCATGAAAGTTAAACAAATGTGTAATCTATTTACTTTTTTTTCTCAAATTGGTAACTACTGATTATCTTTTAGGAACTGCCATTTCAAAATAGACTTTAATTCTGTACCATAGAAGTACTAGCAACAAATAAAAGAAATGAAAAACTAATTAGAAGCAGACTAGAAAACCCATGATATTATTATGAATTTTTAAAACTGAATTATGTATTGATTTCAATACCGTGTCCTTTCCTGTTCTTAAAAAATTAATATATCAATCATTAACTAGTGATGTGTTTTCCAATTTCTGTTACCCGTGACATGTGATCTATGAGATCACAAAGTTCTAGACAGAATATTTGCAGAGTTTCATTTCATACTGATTTGACCTTCTTTTTTTGCCATTCACATTAACAGTGGTGTAAGTAAAACTAAACAAGTTTGCTACTCAAACATAAAATAAATATTATTCGCCTTGAAAAATTCTTATTATTGTTTGTTCCAAGGTTGTCGTTCACGATTAATGATCTAAGTACACACAGAAGGGATTTGAAATGTTATTCACTTCATTAATACATTCGATTCTGAGGAATATGATACATGGTTAACTCCTGTACCCTGGGCAATATAGCTATTATTTAAAACATTGTAAAACAAAAACTATTGTACATATCAGTTTGAAATTGATAATGTCTTGTAGTATTGTCTTTCCTCTTTAGGTCTGTATGTATTTTATGATCATTTTATTAGAAGATAGTGAGAATGGAATTCAAAGAAATACAAGTTGTCAATTTTATATTATTGCAGATACTAAGTGTTACAAAATATGGGGAAACACAGTGAACTTTATTTCACATCAATACTCGTGTACTATAATTATATTTTGTTGAAGTTCAGAAATAGATCCATTTGCATATCTATTTCTGCCTTAATTTTTCGAAATGTAGTGTGGTAAAAAAAAAAATAATGAAAAATAGTTTAGTTCAGTTGAGTCTTCATTTATAGGAACTTTTATTTCATTTTTTCCCCTCAAGCATTGGTAATTCAAATTGTTTATCAATTTCTCAGCATTCTAAAGGAAATGAAAACACGTGAGTTTGAGAAGACTCGCCAATTCACAGCATCATCAGTCTCCATGATATATTTTTTCTAAGTAGGCAACTGTAAGGGAATAAAATCATTGTTCTCATCAGAAGAATCCCCTTGTGATCCATATTTCTTATGCTGAGAGTCACTGTGAATATAACATAACTATGTGTCTTCTAAACATCTGTATATGTTGGCAAGAACATGAACATTACTTACAAAGAAATATTCTGAATGTAATCGACAATGACCACAAGTACAATTATCTAATTACTTCATGGAAAAAAATGCAAATCAAAAAATACAAGCACACATGGGCATTTGTCCTGTGATTATCTTCTGGTTATTAAAAGCACATTCTGGATTCTACAAACGTCCAAGAGGCATTGAGAGCCTGTCAAAGATGATAAATGCAGAAGAACATATGACATATGTTCATAGCACATAACAGTAAAATGAAAATGACATATCAGATACGTCTTTAGGGTGGAAAGTGTTAAAAACCCTGTGTTTAAATATGAATGTTTATTGTTACATGCAAATTATTCATTAATAGAAAATGTGCAACATTATTCAACATTATTTGATGATGTGTAGTTGTGTTGTTCATTTCCCTCAGAAATGTCTATCTTATAAAACTGTTGGGGTATTCATTTCACTTTTTCCTTTTCATTGTTCTTTGCTGCTATTTCTTCTAATATTTATATTTCCCTTCTATATCATCTTGTTTTTTATGAACTTCCTCATGAATCTTTGTATCTTGTTCACTTTCAATGGCAAAATCATGGTCCACATCACTGTCATATCACTAGTGATTTCCAATATCGACCCTTTAACTATACAATCGGAAGGAGGATCCTGGGGAAACACAGTTCTAGATCATCCAGTACGATCACACATCTTGCTGTGGTAAGAAATGTTCCACTTCTGGTAATGCAAAACTGCTCTGAAACTTCATTTCATGTGGGGGGGGGGGAACTTCTGTGACACACAAAAGGGTAGATATTAAGTGTAATTTTCCTCGGCAATCTCAGAGACGACACATCATCAGTTAAAGGTTGCATTTTAGATATTGCAAATGACTTTGTAAAACTTTGTAACTATTTCAATATCTTTAAATTTCTCCAAAATTATGAGTAAGTTGCATACAATAGGATATTGATTTTTAATTTTTAATTTTTTCTCATTTTATTGTAATTACTGCAACATCCTTCCAAAGATTTGTTTAAAGCAATACATTAAAGAACGAAGGCAATTAAAATTTTTATTTAAGTGATGGTTTATATTTCTACTTTTCTTGCAGAGTTTTGGTGAAAGCAACAGTGGAGACAGACCTCCTTCCCCTACAGTGAGACCTACCCGACTGCGAGCAACTGGTCTGGCTGACTCTTTACGATCTCCACCAGCAGCTATACCTAAAGAGATTTCTAAGAGTCCAGTGCTGCGAGCTGGTGTTTCTCGAGAACCTCGAACAGAAACTGGTATTTTTGTACTTTCTACAGTTAATTTTATAGTATTTATTACTTTGATAGGCTACTTTGTTCTGTTGAAGTATAAAATATCTCCAATGTTTTCCTTAAGTTTCATCCTTTGCAAATTGCTCTTGGAGTTTGGACAAGTTTGGTACTCAAACAATTATAATAAGTATGAACTGAGAATAACTTTGAATTGATAAATTTGAAGATCAATAAATTGGAAGTTCTCAGGGCGTATATTCATATACTAGACAACCAATTGTTTAATTACTTAAATGTTCGTCCAAATGTTCACCTGCTGAGAATCACTAGTTGAAGAGCTTGATCTTAGTTCCATATCTTGCACTGTTACTGGAAGGGTATTATCTAGGTCCTCTTCTTTTCATACTATTTAATCATACGATAAACTGCATTTTCTAGCATTCGGCTCGTGATAAGCACTAGCAGATGAGCATTTTTTACTACAATGCACATCGCCAAGTGCGTTCGTTAAGTAACTCATACGCACACGCATCGATGAAGCTGGCGTCATCAGCGTTAGGTGACAAGCATCAACTCAACGCCTATTTGGCACAGATCTTATATTCTTCTACCAATGCATGTTGGTTATTTTTCTACCTACCGGTAATCTAATGAATTGTAAATTTATATAGGCGTAGCTATTCAGTATTGATTTTCACTGTATTTAAATCTAGTCTTGTAACATTTCATAACTATTTATAACATCACACCTTTTCAATAGTCTTTCTGTTTTGGCAATTTTTAATGGGGCAAGGTGGCGGGAAAGTGCAGCAACAGTGCCTGTTGTTTACAACAAGAAGTGCTTAGCAGAAGGTGTTGTGGTACCATCTGGATGTGTAAATTGTGGGAAAATTGAAATTATTATGCTATCATAAATGCGGTGTATTTTATAACATGAATTTATGACAACTGATGGAACCGACAAGAAATGTAAATGCCGGGAAAATATAAATTGCGGAAACATAAAAGCAAGGAAACGGGTTTTCACTATTGATGAAAACTAATCTGAACAGCCTTACCATGTTTTTCAATAATTTTTGAAATGCATACCATTCCCCTGTGTTGTGCTACTTTACTTCCTATTTATGTCATTGCACACAAATCTATCATTTGATTCATTATGTTACTTTCTGATTATTGTTTATAATTATATACACTCTAAGCTGAACATAATATTTTTCAATGCTTCATTGGTAATTGAAGTTTGATTTAATGTTGTAGATTCCTGTTGTGGAAGCAAACAGTGCATTGTCAAAGGCAAACCACCACCCCCTATTGCACCGAAGCCGCGACCCTGGTCCATGGCAGGAGATCGCAAGTCAGGTAAAGATGCCTTTTGTTGGTAATATAAAATATTGAAATCCCATTCCTAATGTAATAATGCAGCGCCATTCATGCTTCTTCTCATTGGCGAAGCTCTTCAAAGCTCTGCTTTCGGGCTGTCACCACGTACAAAGTGGAGCTCATATTGCAATATAATGTTTCTTCAACATTCTGGGGGTTGAATCTGCGTCAGAGTCAACTTTGTCACTGAGTAAAATTGTGTTGTATTGGGAAATTATGCTTGAATAATTTCCCATTGTAATATATTTTCATTCTATATAAATAAAAGGGAATATTCATCTCATATCACATTTAGACTCAAAAGCTTTGACCGATTTTCACTGAAATTTTCAAACTTTGTTCTTATTAGTATAAGGAGTATTTAAAGAGTGGTTTGAATTAATTTGAATGTATGGGAACATTGTGTTTGCTAAGATAATTGATGAGGTGGGCTCTTTGCTGTTATCAGAGAACCTTACTGGAAGTGCGATCTGCAGATATCTTTTGGAACTACACTCCTCGCTTGAACTCATAGTATCAAATGACATCAAAGTTGTGATCTACAAAGCAGGAAATCTGAAAACAAACACTGGCAGTGTACAACATTATTTGAATATTTTATTTTTAAAGTTAAATGTTTTATAGTAAAGTGTAGTTAATCTTCATTTAATAAAGTGACTTCAAACATGATTTGTATTAACACACTGCCTTAGTGAAGCATTGCTGGGTCTTCTATGGCCAATTAATGAAGTGTGTGACCAAACAATGGGTCAAGCAACTGAGCAAATTGTGCACGGAGAATGAAACAAAACTTTGGACTATAATCTTTTAATCATGTAGGGTTCTTACTGTTCTGGATAAATTACTCAGGGTGGTTTCCCGTTGCCTGTCCTGATATGATGATGATGATGATGAAAGGGGGTGAAAGGACAAACACAATACAACCATGCCTGAGGCGGGACTCGAACCCACAATCTTTCGGTACGAGATCGCTATGGCACTACTGCCTTAGCGATCTCAGCCACCGGATCGGCATTTCTCATAATACTGAAATAATAATAAATTTTCTATTTAGGCATGTATTATACTCAATCCAAATTAATGGTAAAAGTAGCTTTCAAAAGCACTGAAAAAAGTGCTTAAGAATAGTAGTGAATAGAAGAAGAACTAAGAAAAACAATAGTAATTAATAGAAAATGAGTTACAATAACAATAAGCAATTGAAAGAAATATTGCAAGTAAATGAATCTAATTACTATATAAGTGACGAAGGGTAATTAATAATTGTCAAAGCTTATCCTAACAGCAGATAGATTTCACTGAACAATGGGAGGAAATAAAACCACACAAATGTGAAAATCATTTATGTAACATATTCTTTTTCAAATGAGACTTAGAATATATTAAGAATTGAACATTGCAAAGAGGAATCCAAGCAGTTAAGGCTGTACAATGAAGAGAGATTTGGGCTCGGTCTTTCAGTACAATTATTACAATTTTATAGTCATCACACATCTCACAAGAAAGTCTGTTCTGTGTGTTATATTATTAGTTTCATAACTAATTTATCCCAATTGCATTTCAGGGGAATTTTCCCTTCTTAGTGATGGTTCGAGTACAAACACATCTGCAGCTAATACTCCTGATTCGGGTGATGCACTTGATGAATCTACAGATTCAGGTGTGGCAAGTATGGGCTCAGCAGGTATATGTATATCTGTGTCCTTCAGGGTATTATTTCCAAATTTAATTCTCTCTTTTCATTGATTTATTCAGAAAACATTTTCACGGCCAATAACTAAAAAGATTTTTAAATTTCATGCTAATGTTTTTAAATGACAGGGCAATGTGCAGAGAAACGCTCTGTTCGAGAGTTGGCTGCCACTCTTAACAAACATGGGAACCAATCAGATGGTGGAAAGGGAAAAATTTGTGATCATTCTGATTCAGGTGAGCTTTTAAATCATTTTTATTGAAATGAAGGCATTAGAAGCAAATTCTTATTAGTGTAAGATTTGTGTGATGTCAGTTAAATTGTGGTATAAGTATGATAATTATATATTTTATATAATATGTAAATTATTAAATATTGAACACATTGCAGTCCAACATCTCTCTTGGACAACTAACTCAAGTTTTCAACTATTTTGGTGCTGGCAAAGTGAATTTACAAGTGGTGCAAACATTCATTATAATGTTTTCAAAAATGTGTGCTTGGATGTGTGTGTGTGAGTTATTTAGGCAACCACACAATTACAAAAAAACAAACATAAACGTAATTATAATGAACACCTAACAAGCAATAATAAGAAATACATTTACAAGTTATTTGTAGAATATAGTACTTTTGTTAGCAAAAATAACTGTAAAACAATCTTGCTCAAGAAATAATATTAGTACACAACAATTTCCAAAGAGTAATAATCACACAAAATATTGCGTGTTTTAGTCAATGATTTAAATCCATCAAATGATCATTGCAAATCAATCTTCAAATCATTAGCTAATTTAATCATCCTCCAAATAGGTGAATTATAAAAGGCGTTGGTTTTTGTTTTTAGTGTGACAAATTCATACTGTGTATTACAATGTAAATTTCTAGATGGTACTTTCAAAGCAACTAATGAATGGAGTACACTACTGTCAGTCATAGGATTTATCAACTTAAACAAGAACACACAGTCATTTAGATCCCTGTGTGATCTTAGGAAGCATATATTACACACAAAGAAGCAATTTCATCATATTTGTGTGAAATTCGTGGTGGTGGAAGATACAATTTCCATGGCACATTATTTAAGAATTTACAATGAATAGTCTCTAATCTACGCATATAAATTTTGTAGTATGCTAAGCAAACGTGAGAACAATATAACAAAATTGACCTCACTAACTAGAAATAAAAGATTCACAATGCATTGAGACCCACATTTATAAGTGCATTTTCTCTATCATAAGAAACGTAAAGAAAAAATTTAGATTTTTAGAAATTTAGAATATAAACGAAAACCCTACACTCCTTAAAATGATAGGTCTTCATCCTTTCAGTAGTATTTGTATGTATCTTAGTTAAATTATAGGGTACATGGCTATTTTTCTTTAAATGTGTAGAATATGATTAAATACGGTTAAAATGATGGGTGATGTCCTCCTGGTGTTAATAAATAAAAAAAATAAAAAATAAAAATAAATAAAAAAATAAAAAATTATATTTTTATTTATATTTAATACTAAACAGAAAGTTTGAAGTGACAGTCCTGCCTAATGGGGCTGAACTTGACAGAAATGGTCACGTTGTTCCTTCCAAATTGTTGATGCTTATTTTATTTCTTAAAATGTTTTCTTGATTACAGGAGCCTCAGAAGAACTTGGCTGATGCCAAAGAAACTGTTTTTGCTCAGGTTTGAGCTGAACAATGGAGTATTACAGTTCAGCCATCCAGAGGTTGCAAGGGCTAGGGTGCAGCCTTTGGCCTCTGGCCAGTGCTAGATGATCGCTTCCGAGCAGATGCTCTGCCAGCCACTTATGTAGTGCTCATTGATTATACAAGCTACAGGCCAGTGCTCTTAAGCATTCAGTAAGGCTGTTTTAATGTATTTCTTCCTTTTACATTTACTAGTGTGACTATATATATTTATCTGCTCGCGCACACATAACACACATATATGTATGCTATGTCACATACTGTTCAATGACAATGTTCACTACATTATGAGCTATTAATTTTTTTTTAAACCTGTTACATTTCATTTTCAATTAATAATTGATAAATTTGCCAAAAGGAAGTCTTCTAAAATCTTGCTTTAAACTATGTTGTGTGGGTGTAGAAAGCTTTATTCCTATCGATATAAATACTGAGTAATCCCATCTACTAGTGTTTTGCTTTTGTGACTGAAAATTTAATGGTGCTGTAAAATTATTTAATTGTTAAAGAATAATATTGATAATTTGTGAGCAGTCTGTTGCCAGCTTACCAGTATTTCTATGAAATACCAGTATGATAAGGGCTTTGCCACTGCCATAGACATTTTGAGAAAATGCCAATTCTCAAAGAATTTTTTTTTTTTTTTTTTTTTTTTTTTTTTTTTTTTTTTTTTTTTTTTCCTTCTCAGATGGAAGTTGATCTTGTTTATTGAACATGCTTGTGATGATTTTCATGGGCAGTATTGTGCTTTAATGATACAGCAGCTCTAGTGATAAATTGAAAAGTTGCTGCGAGACTGAGGTTTTGCTTTAGAGTGCTGTAAGCCACAACTGTTAGTGCCACACCTGTGATGCAGCCATATCATGGCAATGAATTTGATAAAGTCTGTGGCTCTCTTCTAGCCTAAATCTAGAATGTTGGTAATTATATCCCTTTCAGAAAACTGGAGAGACAGCAGTGCTGCATTTGTCAGTTTGTAGGTTGCTCATGAAGGTGCAACTTGGTAACTTCATGAATTGTTTGATTCTGTTTTGATTCTTTTGTATGATTATTATTATTATTATTATTATTATTATTATTATTATTATTATTATTATTATTATTACTTTTTTTTTAAGACAAATAGTTATTTCAATTATGGCAACAGTGTGTGACCATTGTTTAAAATATAAACAATGCAGTTTTATCTGTAGTAAAATACTGTGTAAGTGTATTATACAGAATGAGTTGTATTGCTGGTAAAATAACTCGGTAGTATTAATAGTTGCATTTTTGTTATTATTATAATGTACAGTGAAAAGAAAACAATCTTGTCACAGTTGCTTTTGTGTATTAAAATTGTGTTGACTGTGTATATTATTTTTCTATTCAATTGTTGAATATTTTATGCTGAATTATTTTATGTGTTACTATTATTTTGTTTTACTGATAAAGATTTTAATTATTATGAAGTAGCTGGCTTTCTACTCATCTGTCTTTAAGAAACAGAAATGTTGATTTTTAAAAATTCCTTCTAGCCGATAAATACATTTGCAAAACAAACACACTTCTGTGTGAATTTCTTTAGTTTCATTTCCTCTTCATTGCAAATTGGAATTCAAGACTCGCCTTAAGTACTAGGCACAGAGCAAGAAGAAGCAACTTTAAAAAAGAGAATTTTGATCTAAACAGTCATAGTTTTATGATATTCTGCTCATAGCAACATATACAACATTCATCTAAACATTTTAAAAGCTTAAATTATAATAATATAGCACATCCATCGTGAATGCTCTGCCAGCACACTTTGTAGTGTTAGTTTTATGTTTTCCAGGTAATTTAATTTTGCTTTCAAATTCCAGATGTCAAATTACCACTGCCAGTTCTTTTCCTATTTAATAGAATGTCATTATAATGAAACACTCTAAAACTTTTAGTTTCATGTTATTATTCAGTATTACTTTCATTTTTTATAACATATGCAACATTTCTGTTTTTAAATTATATTCTAAATTAAGTGTTATTTCACATTTGCTAGTTAATTTCTTATTTAATGTATTATTTGACATGTGTAATAACAAGTAATGGACAAGTGTCCAGGTTAGTTAAAATATGTTTATTGTAATAATTCTTTTTATAGCTGATATTGAGGGAAAGTTTAGGAAATGGGCAGTGTAATGTAGCAAATGCTCACGTAATATTTACACAGAATCGGGAAGCAATTTTCCTTTCAAAATTTAAACATTATTCATTATTCTCCCTCAGTTTCAACTAATAATTGAAATTTTGCAATGATTTGTTTTAATTTACTGGCGTTGTCTCCTTCCAATGGTTTAATATTTGATATCTATTCAACCCTGCTCTTATTTTGCTATTGCTTGTAGGTCAGCATGCTGTAAAGGCATAAATGATGAGAATAATGTATTTATATATTAAAAGGTTTAGTCAGTGAAGTCTCTGCTAGCCTATTACCAAAGCAGCAACAACTCGAACAACAGAGTATCTAGTCTGATGCTAGACCTATGCTTCTTTGCCGCCCATTGCTCAAGTATTATGTATAGTTTTTTTCATGTGCTTTATTTAAATGTGGTCTACTAATATCAGTGTCAGAAAGAAGCATTATCTTGAAATTATTGCCAATAATTTATGTAAATTTCAAGTTAACTGCGAGATATGTTTTACTAAACTTGTAGTGTGAAGACATTTGAAAACTAAAAATACAAGACTGCAGTAATAAATGAACAGTATGCATGAACTAATACACTCTGATGCACTTAAAAGGATTTTTAAATTGAAGGATTTGAGTTTTTACTGCAAAATATGTAATATTTTGTTGCTTTATTTGTTTCACATGCTCTGGAGAGAAAATATTTTTATTTGTAATGACATGTGAAATATGTCCTAACAAATGTTTTGTGATATTTCCATTTTTATATATTTTTTACTAGCAGCTACAGCTATAACATTTGTGTGAAATAAATTAATATGGATTTATCATGTAATTAGTATTATACAAATTTCAAAATGAAGCAAATTGTCGGTACTACAAGAGATGCATGTTCTAATTTTCTCAAAGAGTATGATCATTTTCTTCCCAGTTCATTGTGTCATAAATCAATATTGTTACCTGATTTGTCATGCATCATGTTTGTAAATAAAAATGGCATTAGTTTGGTGCAGCAGTTGATCTTATCTTTCTTTTGCTACCTCTTACAATACCTTGCAACATTCATGAATTTCATGCATAGCAAGTTTTGTTATGCAACAGAAAAAGAACTGTTCACCTTTTCCTATTGACAACTAATTAAGAGAGCCGCTTGAGTATGAAGATGGACTCAACAGATAATTACAATTATTTAGAAATGTGAAGGACTCTTCTCTTAAGTGGATTATATCTAAAATAAAATCTTGCTTTTAAATAAGCAATAAGAAAATATTTTCATAAAAATTTAGCAGTTCTGAAAATGAATCATTTATTTTTTATGTAAAATATATTTCCTGCAAAGATTGAACCAACAAGTTTGTTACTTTCACGTTACCAATTACGCAGTAGAGAGAAATATATGTAATGCTGCGTAGCAAATTTTTGACAGATTATTACATGGCCATGGCAACAAAAGTAAATATTAAGTAGATCGCTAGTGAGGTAGATACCTTTTTATAATGAAAAAATAAATGAAGATGTTGTCTGGTATCAATACTTTTTATTCAGCTTATGATCGTTTCAATCGCATAGCGATCATCCTCAGAGCTAAAATTTGAAATACAAATTATTATTAACAGGTTGTAGTTATTGCAAGATGCATAAGCAAACTGGGTCACATGTATGTACGACAGTTTGCTTCCGCATCTTGCAATAACTACAACCTGTTAATAATATTTGTATTTCAAATTTTAGCTCTGAGGATGATCACTATGCGATCGAAACAATCATAAGCTGAATAAAAAGTATTGATACCAGACAACATCTTTATTTACTTATCAAAAGTAAATATATCCAGTTGCTAAATTTAGAAGAAAAAATTCTCTAATACCAGGCCAGATGTTTTATGGGTCCTTGATACTGAAAAATTGAATGACAGCAAAACGTTTGTGAACAACACTAGCAGCTAAATTGTTCAGCCAATTTTCGGAAAATTGATATTCCTCAATCAATCTGGCAGTCAAGGTCCCTTGAATTTGAAACCAATATTTTAATTTTTGGGGGTACTTTACATGAAGCCCCTAGGACATTTTCAGGAAAAAAAAGAAAGGTGGCTCCACAGATTTTGATTCAATTTTGTTGTTGGATAGCATGAAGGACATTTAAGAGCATGGAGTAGGGCTTTATTTCATTGAAAACTGACTTTTCAAAAAATTGCAAAAATTCAACATCTTTTCAATGTTTTCCTACAATTATAGTTATGAATATAAGATATTTTCTCTTTCTAGGATATCTGTTCCTAAAAGATAGATTTTGAAATAAGGTCATGTACAATTTTTCAAAAATTTGAGTACTTTTCCCATAATTGTGAGTGAAATTATGGGCAAGAAAGTACGTTATTTTAGCAACACTAGTTTTTTTTAGATTGTTACGTTTCTTTAGTACAGCTTCCAATCGTGTATCTCTCAGAGCTCATGAAAATAAAATGTACATTGTCATTAAAATTGATTCTAGCATTTATTGAAGAAGGGTTTCATGAACTTTATTACCAAACTGAAGACTCAAAATGAATAACATAGTACTCTGAAATATGTCTTAGATTGCTACAAAAGACTTCACTGATTTAACAAAAATTAACTGTTCTTTTCATGAGGTAACATAGTTAAATATGTTACTCAAGAAGTATACAAATCACCTCTCTGTAGTATTGGCAGGGAAATTGTCTCGGTGTTAATTCACTAAAGAATAAAATTGTTAATGTTGCCAAGAACATTGCCAAATAAGTTTTATCAACTTCAATGGATAAAATGTTTTTAATCAGTTGTGAATATTATGCAGCAAAAGCACCAATTATAAACCCATGGTATTTCAAGTAGATTGCAGTAGATGCACGAGACTGATGATACATAAAAAAAAATTAATCTTTGTTTTTGTGCATTTGCTACAGCTCATGAACATTATAAAAGTAGTGCTCCAACTCTCAGAAAAATAAAATCCAATAATTGTCTCAAATTTTCATTGAATTTGTACATTTAAAAAATGTTAAAAGCTCGTAATTATTACATGAAATAAAGAAGGGTGCTAACTCATGATCCTATAAAGGGTTTGAATGGGAAGGTGTGTGGGTAAAAAGGAATGAAAATGCAATTATGGAAGGCCATGTTCATCTGTGATCTTATTTAATTTCACATTCCATTGTTATGCTATTAAACAATAATGACTATCATTCAATTGCACTTATGTGGCAATAATCTTAATGCAAACAGAGGCAAAATCACAAAAGCAAATCTCAAAATCTTTCTCTGCCTAAAACATTGTGGCACATGGAAAGAAAACAGGTACAATATACAAAAATAACATTTTGCTTATTACTCATATTTTAACTAAAATATTAACGAAATAAATAACATTGTGCCTCTAGGTCACTCACTTTGCAAACTTTCACAGAACTTTCTTTTCTTACCACACTGTTTGGAAACTTCAAGCATAACCTCATTTAATCTTTCAAGTTGTTCACTTTGTTGTTGCAGTAATGTCTCAAGTCTTTTGAACCTCTGTTCATAAGCAGCTTCAAATACTTCTTCTTGCTTCTGTCTCTCTTCATTATTTTTAACCATCACTGCCAATACATCAGCCACATGCACGGAAATATTAGATGATTTGTTTGGAGAATGTGATGCTGATTCTGAGCAAAGTTCAGGTTCAAAAAGTTCACTGTTAACACTCACATTCCCTACCTCTGGTTTAACACGGTTTGCAGGTGGCATTATTAACTTTCGAGTTGTTTCAAGGGCTTTTTGCAACTCTTTGATATAAGGTGGATCTCGATGACCTGGTTTGGTAATATACATAATGTATGCACGCTTTAAGTTACGCCACTTCTGATGACATGCTTTTCCTCCATCAGGACCCAAATCATAACCAAGAGCAGCCATATCATTTGCAACTTGTTGCCAAACCAATTTTTTCAATACATTTCTATCTAATAACATGCTCTGAATTTTTTCAGTACCAACAATCTGAAGAAGGTCTTTGGTAGGATCCTTATCTTGATAAGTTTTCCAAATTGTTGACTCTAGGAGAAAAAATGAAATGATCAGCAGGTTAAACAATATCTGAGAAATTAAAGAATGAAAACATCATTTCTGAGGATACTTACTAGATACATTTTCAGATGAATTCTGCGGGGCTGACATCATCATATACTGAAAGATCAACGGATTCTCTGCAACAAAATAAATATGCAGATACAGCAACTTACTTAACAATAAAACTTTAAAACTGTAACAAAATTTTCTAGTTATCGTTCACTGACAATATTCTTAAATATACGATTAACCAACAATACATACTGAATTCATTTGAAACTCACTTGATCCTAGAATTAAACGAGGAAGTTTGGCCACTTTCGTACATAGAACCTATTTCTACACGAAAATGCTTTTTTGGGTCTAAAACCATAGAGGAATAGTAAACCCTTTCGCGTTAGTTATGCATTTTTAACTAGACCAAAATTCGATTAATTTGAAGCATAAAGAAACATGCAACTAGCAAACCAACAGAAGCAATGATGACTTTACGAAGAGGATAATATTATCCTCACGATTGTGTCAATTTGTACGACTGAAGCGTGTAGTAAACACTATACCGTGTAAGCAATATAATCTGCAAATGCGTCGAAATACGTTGGCGACATTGCTAATATCAAAAGGTTTACTCGAGATAAAAACCTGTCTATGGCGGTCTCATTCAAAGTGTTTTAAATTACTTCATCACTTCAGGAAAGGATAATTCACGTCATTATATTTATCATACATATCGATAATATACCTACATTCAAAGCAAATTTAAAAAATTAAATATTATGATAGCACGAAGTCTGTAAGACTTCGGGTGCAACGGAGACATAAGTCGAAAATGCCCTTACAATAGATGAACTGGAATAAAGAAGTATACAGAGCAATTTTTTATAATTCTACAAAATTATGAAAATGATCGTTTTCGTCCGATCTCAAAATCAGTGGCGGCTCGTGCTTCGGTCGCACAACCCCCAGATATCTAAACGACCAAGGAAATCCATAACAAACGTCATTCGGGCCACTTTATCTTTTTTTTCTTTTTTTCTTCAACTTTTGCAAAACATGCATATTTTAGGGGGTGGAACTGTGTAGGCTACATCCTTATCTCTAACGCATATTTGACAGCAGAAAGCCGAGGACTTCGGAAGATGGCTTAATAGACTGCCTATGTCCACGCAGGGGTCCGTTGTGACCTACGATGCCGAGTTGGAGTTTCAGGTCGCTACAGGAAGTACTTCGTGGATAAATAATATCATACCTGTTTCTATATGCAACTAACTGAGATATGGGATGTCGTTTATACTTTTTGTTGCTGCAATTCATCTCTCCTTTAGATGAACCGTGATTTTTGGTCCTATAGTTCGCCGAATAATTGCTAGGTATTTGAGTGAGCTTGCTGCTCTTAGTTTAGCCCAATCGCATATTATTATGTCGTTTCTTTTCGCTCTTCCGACTCTTCGAAGTATTGTAATTTCTGTTTTATATGTAGCTCTTTTGCAGTTGCCTATTTACGTAGAGCGTCAATATTCTTTTGTAATTCTTCGCAGTCTGTTGAGACTGCTGCTACGTCGTCAGCATAGATTGGTATTTCCACTTCTTTTTTACTGCCGTTAAATCATGCACGAGTACGTTAACCTTTAACATACGTATTTAATAATAGCGCACTTGGTGGATCTCCTTACAGTACTTCTACACTTGTTCAATTTTCTCTAATACTGTAATATCATCACTTTGGATGTAATTTTCTGTAAGGATATTGATCGTTATCCTCGATAACCAATCTCGCCCTGCAACGTCAATCAAGTTGTTCTCATTTGTTTATTTACATAATCGAAGGCTTTGCAGAAATCAACCAATTCTGCGTCTCATTTCTTATGTTGTTCATTCACACTGACATTTATGCTATTAGGTTTACCGCTGCCATGTGTGTTGGTCTTTTATGCCTAAATCCAAATTGTTCTTCTGCTAGTAAATGATCTGTATTTTCAAATTATCTTTTTGGTATCAGCTTTTTAAAAATTTTGAATGGCTTGTTTTCAAGAGCTTTTCCGCAGTACGCTTCAAGTGAGAATGTGTCTCCTTTGCCTTTGTAAAGTGGTTTCAGATTTGCCGTGTGCCATTCTGATAGTATTTCTTCACTTTGTGGTTATGCATTGAATAGTTCAGTTCAAGAATTAGCTACAATAGGAGCAGCTTCAATAGGAGTGATTGTTTTAGGTGCTCATAGTCCACGCCGTCGGGTCCAGAGGCTTTGTTTGGTGTGTGTGTGTGTTTTTGTTTTGTTTTTTTGTCTCCTTTATCGTCTCTCTCACTTCCTTGACAGTAAATAAATTCACATGCCCCCCATTTTCCACTTGGTTTTTCCGGTCTTGTTTCTTTGTGGTTTACGATTTTCCTTATGTGTTCCTCTCATGTATTAATTGGTATATCTGGTTGAAATCTGGGATGTTTTGTAGTATGCAATATGGATTAGCCTTTGCTTATTGTATAATGTTGTTAGCTTCCTTCTCAATGTGTGCAGTTTTCTTCTGATTTAGTAGTATTTTAAATTCCTTTCTTGATCTGTATGATTGTCAATTTGCACCCTTTGGGATTGTCTTTACCTTCCTTTGGCTCTCCACAGCTTTTTTTCTTGCCTCATAGAATTCTTTATCGAGCCAAACTTAAGCTCGTTTCTTTGTGCAGAGAAACTTGGCAGATAGTATTGTCTCTCGGATCAGGTTCGTTGCATTTGTCACGTTCATGTTTTCCAATTCTTCATTGATTGCTAGTTGTCTGTCTTGTCAGTTTTTCTTGATCTAGTTTTATTTTCTTAGGTTCCTCTTTTCTGCTTGGTTACTTCGTCGTTTCCTTCAACTGTAAGTATAGGTATGCGCTTTCTTAGCAGTGTTGCATCTGGCTCCCAGACTTGCTGTTGTTTTGTGGATTCGAACCCTCGCACCAACTCCGTAAAAGTTAATTTCATTTTTTATACACTGGAATTTGATGCATGTATATTGAAGTAATTTTGATAACGATCTTTTCAAGTTCTTAAACTTTCTTTTGCAACGTAAATCAATTGACTGATTGTTAATGATTATGTGTGTCGGCTATTTATTCCCCATATACTAAAGGGATTTAGCCAAACTAGAGTATATTCAGAATGGATTTATAGACAGACTAGCCATTATCAACAAAACGACAATGGTATGTTGTTGTGGTGTGGGAACGGTTGGCACCACATGCGGGGGAAGCGGAAGGACAGGAGGGGCAGATTGGGCCCTCGGGGCTGCACCCTATTCTCCTGTATGCCTACGGACAGATGAGAAGGAACAATGGGAGCAGGATTGATTCAGGTCATGGTAAACAGTATTTATTGGGCGGTGGTACTTTCACGGGCATCCGCACCTGACGCCTGGGGGAGGACGGCCCTCCGGAAGAGCGACTTTGCCGCGGCCATCGGGCGGGTCGGCGGTCGGGGAGCTGCCTGCAGGGAGGGCCGGGCTGAACTGGCGGGTTGGGAAGCGGCGGGGCCAGTTGGGCCGATCTGAACCGACGGAGGAGCGGAAGGTCCTTACACACGAGCTCTCGAATAGCTTTCGTCCCCCGCCTTGCAACGTCGTTGTGCTCACGTGGGCGCCAGCTGTCTGCGGCCACGCGACTGTATGACCATGAACACAAGTATACGCAATTTTATTGATTTGCAACGATAGCCAGCAATGAAAAGAATGTTTGCGGAACTCCTATTTCTCCGTAATATTACTTCTACAGTTATGAATGTCCTGATTTTATTTCTACGATTTCACTCTCCCACCTCCCCGAATTACTAGACACTATGTACCTTTTTTTATTTATAATTCAAAACCAAACTGAGCTCTTGATAGCACATTTGTTAGATTATGTTAACTCGCGAATCAAAATTGTTATCTCGTTGACTCTTTTAAACACCCTGGAGAATATTCCGGGCGAAATGCTTTGCTGTGATGAAATTGCGCACTCGGAGGGTGCTGATACCCCTTCTGGTATTGGAGGAAAGATAGTGACCAAGGCTGTGTGCTAAAATTAGTATCTGTTTTTAGGCTCAGCAGGAATGTCTTAATAGGTGGGCTAGAACGCGCAGCTTTAAGTGTTTTAAGTCAAAACATGACGCGCTTCCTAGCCTGTTTGAGTTGGTTTGTACATGACTTAGTCGATAGTAGAGCAGAGTAGTTGGGATCAGGAAGTCGTGGAAATTCTGTTTCATAATCTAGATCACTATTTGTTTTGAGTTGTGACTAGATTTATGATGTCTGTGTTTTGTTTGCAGCCACGGGTGCATAGTGGGATAATTTCGCAGTGTTACATACTTGTGATGGATATGTTGATCTAAATTATTGTTATGTGTGAAGGCTTTTGGAAGGTTGTCTTTGAGTGTGTAGAGAGTAAGAAGTATAGAACGATCAGTAACCGTGTCACGAATGCGTTTTAATGTACTTGATAAAATTGGAAATAATAATGAACTCAGACAACGGCAACACGTACCTACCTTAATATTTTGAAAAAAATAGTGTTTATTCAATAAATTTAAAAAAACATGATTCGATATGAATAGGCGAAGGTACGCTATCTACAAAATCGAATGAAACGAAATACTTTGAAATTTCGCCATTCGGTGATGGAGATAACAGGTCACTTGAGCTGCAACTATTGAATGCAATCAGTAAACCATACTTCACCGTAAATATATTGCACAATATTAACTAAAGTAATATTGAAAATTTGAAACAAAGAAACAAGCACCACACATTTTCTAAGAGCTCTCGAACCTTACAGGTCTGTTCAAATCATTAGTCTCACAACAAAAAAATAGTTTTATGTGATATAAAGACTCCTAGAGTTTTGACAGTCATATGTAAAACGCGCCATGCGTCTTCTAATGACATACCTTTTAAGCAGAGTCACGAATGAACGTTAGGTATCAGTACTACCGTAATTACCTGCAAACGCTTCTGCGTGCGATAGTACATGTATAGTTTTGTGAATGCACACCGCATATTGTGACGTTCTAACGCTTCTTTTGAAAGGGAGACATTCACCGACTTCGCTTGTGGTGGTGAATCTGTTTGTTAACATGAAGACTTGTGATATGGGCTGTCCGGGTGGTGCCGCCCAGAAGGCTAAGGAGCCGACGTTTCAACCAACATATCGCAGCCTTCTTCAGGGCTGTAGTGTGCTCCAGTTTGTATGTTCGAGATGGACCAGGCTGTGACTGGCTAGGTGATCGGCCAATGAGGCGTCTGATTGGCCGGTCACCTCGTCATAAAAAACCGGAGCGCCCAACATCCTGGCGCACTACAGCCCTGAAGAAATCATTATGTTAGTCGAAACGTCGGCACCTCATGCTTCTACGCAGTGTCAACCGGACACCCCAGATCATGACTCTGGCCGCGGAAGCCTATGACATCATCAAACGTGAAGAGTTTTTGTAAATACATTATTTAAAGGATTTTATGTTAACAGTGCAAAATGGGAAGGAGTAAGGATCTTTTCCCTCGTAAAGTTGCATTGTTAAAACTCTTCTAGAGGAAAGTATCTTTATAGAGAGGCCATTAGCTAAGATACACGCAATTAGTTAAAAAATCTTTAGGCAAGTATTACAATGAGATAAAAGGAAGCATATCGACAAATCAATAAGAAAAAACAAATCTCTATCCTCGAGACATCCAAAAATTAAAAAAAAATTGCTCTTAAGGACAGAAAAAACTGCATTTAAAGAATTCATTATGATGATGGTTGAATATGGATCTCATGTTCCCCCAGGAAGTGTGAGAATTCTCTGTGGTGGGGAATAATATCATGACGCTCCAGAAAAAAGCCAAAAATACACCTGCAATGACAAAGAAAGACTGGAAGAAAGTGTGCTTTAGTGATGAATCATGTTTCAGTATATCTCATGAAAGCTCTCCAGATTTGTTCGACGTCGATCTGATGTGGCGTTCAAATTCGAATGTGTACACCAAACTGTTAAACATCCAACATCTGCAGTGATTTTAGGGCCGAATCGGACTTCCATGGATCCTGAAAGACTATATCAAAGAGGGAACGATGAATGAACTAATCAGAGAGGGAACGAAGAACCACTACCACATAGATCAATCTGCTTTAATGAGTGTTTATACTCGATTGCTCACCTCGTTATTAAGCAAAAAACGTGAAAGATACTCATGGAAAAAATGTATCGTACTTCCACGGCCAAGATGTTCCGACATGAACCCCTTTGGAGCTTCATGAAAGTAGAACGAAAAGAAAAGAAAAAAAATCAACCAAAAATCTATTGACTGACGAAATCCATTCATTATGGCCTACTAGTGTCGATTTGAAACTCAATTGCATGAAACTTGAAGAATGGATCCCTTACTAAATTCTAATTTGTATGTTGTTGAAAAAGGAGTACGTACTACTTGTATGTTATATTATACCTATTTAACTTCATTGTTTTATTTATTAAATTTGAGAAATTTATGTTCCAATTATTACAAATGTGTACAGCTGTTCATTTCAATTAATTTGGTGTAGGTAAATTCATGATGCCCAGTGCACTGTTGCTTGATAAATAAAATTCTTTGAAAACTGAAGTCTTCGGTATTTTTGTTCCGGAGCCCGTATTTTCTTTCGGCGATCTTAAAAATATGCATTGACGAATTCACATTAATTTCTTAATTATTGAAGTTAATTCATGTAATATCTACATGTCTTGATGAGTTGAGGAAAGATAGGACAAAATTCTTCATAAATTTGCTGTATTGACATTTTATTGAATTACAACACGCAACTGACCGGTAAGTTAACATATTTACTATCTACAGGTAGAATATTTGGTTACCGTATATTGAAATAGAACAACTATATAGTAATGCATGCGCCAACTATGTGGGATACGTGTTCAAACCATTTTCAAAACAAATTTAAAATCGAGAATACGTAACGAATTAAATTCACCGCTTTGTGCTCTTGCTTTCATAGTAATCCACCAGGGTCGCTGAATGCCAACAGTCCACACGTGTGTACACTTCCTGCGTAGGGCAGGCGCAGCACTAGGGTTGGTTTACATGATACGAATTGCAATCCGATTGGTGGCAACAAGCCGCCAGAGGATGTTGTAAGTTAGCAGCAGTGGAGCAGACAGTGAGTGAGGAACATTCACAGTGCGTGAATTAAAATGAAGGTTATAGCGAAACGTGACAAACGCATGTTCTTGTAGACGTAATATACAAACTTCCAATTTTTTAAAAGTGTGTTGATATTATAACCTTTGGTACGCGTCGATTTTACGTTTTTGTGAGACAACATGTCATCAAGAACGAAAGTCACAGAAAAGAGTGTTGGTGCTGTTAGTAAAGCAGTGGGGTCGGTGTGGAGCAGAGCATTCACCTCCAATTCAGAATGGCCAGATAAAGTATTAAGAGAGAAAACAAAGTTTATTATTATTTTAGACGACAATTTTGCGCCAAAATGATTTTAAGAATTGTTTATTTCATTGCAGGAGGAATTCCTTGATGTGATCTATTGGTCTAGACAAGCCCTTGGAATTATAATTGGATTGGTGTGGGGTCTAATCCCTTTGAAAGGATTTATTGCCTTGTTGTTGTAAGTAGAGTTTCAATCAGAAGTGGGTCATTGGCTGTTCGTTGTTTATAATGTTTTTCTTTTTGTAGGTTTGTGCTAGTAAATGCCGGACTGATTTATATTTATTTTACAAATTTTCAAAGTATTGATGAAGAGGAATATGGTGGTGCTTGGGAATTAACTAAAGAAGGTTTTATGACCTCTTTTGCAGGATTTCTGGTGGGTGTATTTTTCACATGCTTTATTACTTTTTAACATATAACTATTTGTTGAGAGTAATTGAAATGTTTGTTTTAGGTCACTTGGATTATTATATATTCTGGGCTTCATTTTGAATAATATGAATGTTATTCAACTTTCAGAAAATTTTATACCTGGGTCAGTTAAACAGTATTTCTGTTGGAAATATGATTTGATGTTGCTTATTCAGGAAAGAAAAATCCTCAGGGACTGAGTGTTTTGACTATTACTTTCAGAGTTATCAATTTGTTTTCTTACAATTTTATGTGATTATTAAACTATTAAAGAAAATTAATAAGATTTTTGGGTATGTTTTCTGATTCTTGTTTGGTTCTTTTTTGAGTCGAGATAAAATTGAAATTTGAAAACATTTCTGTTTAAAATTACATTTTCTACACATGGTATTCTGAAAAGAAGAAAAGACTAAAAGCACACTTTAAGGAACAAAATTCAACAAAGACAAAATAATTTGAAAGAAACAAAATCTTATATTCTGAGGCTCACAGACTTTCAGGATATAAAACACACAATTCAATCTTACGGCTTTTAACAAACTTTAAAGCCATTCATTGTCTTGAGAAAAAAAAGAAAAGAAAAGTCAATTATATTTTCTGTACATAACAACCTCATGAGTTCAATCTTTCATCTCCAGGGAGATTTTCTCATGTCTTACAAGTAAACAAAATGTCACTAATGTATTGAGGATTGTGTTCTTAGTGTTTTTCCTTCACATTGATGAAAGATCTTCAAGAATTTTAACACTTCACTCAAGTGCACATATTAATCTTCACACTAGTTGCATGGTGTTTCCAACTTGTATTTTATTTATTTCTGCCTTGAATTTTGCCATTGTTTCTTTGGCCAACTTCAATTTGTCTCTTAAATCATTTATTTCATGACGTATCTTGTTCTTAGCAGTTAAAATAGTTTGCAAAGTCTTGTCTTTCTTTTCTTCAACTGAAACAATCATGAACATTCATTTCATTCATACTGAGATACACTTATTCCATAGGACAGATGGGCATGGGTGGAAGAATTTCATTCGTCATTTAGTCTACTCCTGTGCATATGACTACTTATGAAACCAACAAGAAAGAAGCATTTTTAGCATATGGAAAGTTACCGAAAATGGAAAGCTTACATTACATTAATAAATTTATAATTTATAACTGCCTTTTTATAATTCAACTTCTATTTCACTATTTTTGTTTGCCCAAACCAATCTCTGGATTGCCTACACTGATTCCAATTGAACTTTCCATGAAAGGTAGAGTATTTTGTTGGGCATAATTTAGGCTATTTTGATATCACAGGCACACACACTTCAATTTTATATGCTAAGGATGATGATGGTTAGGTACAATTTACAAGACTCCATTACCACAAATAAAATTTAAAAATTTGATATTGCTGGATACAAAATCACTCCCAAATTTGTGTCAAACAGATTTAAGATTAAAAATGATAAAAGTTGTTTCTTAATGCAGCAATTGTACATAATTTGAAAACAGTACAATGTAATTTCTTCTGACCCCTTAATAGTACACATGGAGGTTCTTAAGCTGTAATTTTATAAATTACAGCTAGCTTAGACCTATTAGTTTTTGGATATTTGCACTTCTGGTCTTACCTCCCAGAAAGGGTGGTCAGAAACACAGATAATCATCAATCACATCTTTATGTACAATTAAATTGACTGATAGACTATTGGTTATCAGCCTTTCTATTTGTTCACAACTGTTAAGCAATGTTTCCCCATGCACAGCACCAGGCCTAAATGGTTATGCCTGGCTTTTCAGACTTAGGGTTGTGTTAAGATACTTTTATAAAAATGTTAAAACAGACAGAACATTCATTCCATTTCCGTAACATTCCAAAATTACAATTGAAAATAAACATGAATCAAAATTTAAACAAGTGATGAAAAATTAGGACTGGATGTTCTACTCTAGAAGTTAATAAACAGCTTGTAAAATCAAGCCATTACAGAAATTAAATTGTAGATCATTTTAAGTACAGTTACCACCCATCAAACATTGCAACAAAATGTACAATAAAAATATTCTACGGAAACTTGAACTACGGTCCTTGTTATAGGCAATAGTGTGTGGAATAAATTGAGATGCATATGGGAAAAACAAAACATGAGGGTTTGTGTACTTACAGTTAGTTTCATGTTCCCAAGGTCCCAGTGTTAAGGGCTTAGTAGATGTAAGATGATACTGCATTAATGCAGTGGGATCTTGAAATACTATTTCTTCATAAAATTCTGTAACTAGAGTCTTCTTGGCTACCAGAGCATCAGGGCCTGGTTGAAATAATTTAAGTGTATGATAAAGAGTAACCTGAAAATCACAAAATTTGGATCAGGATGTACCCAAATTCAAATTACAAAAAGCTTGATAACCTTCACAATTTGACTGGAAGCTCATCAACGTGCATTAAGAAGTTGCTTTGGGACTATGAACAAAGTACATCATTTTGGTATGTCTCTCCAAATTATCAGTTCTCAAATTGATATTCATTTACATATAACACATTAAAAAAAAAAAAAAAATACTTACAGCTGGTCGTTCATTTGGATCATTAAAAAATATTTTTATAACAATGTCAAATTCTCCCCAACCAGTTTCAGTAACTTCATATGGTGGTTTTGACACCATTCTGTTGGCATCTGCATAACTGTCATGAAGTTTGAAATGTACTTTCTTTACATACATGGACATATCCTCATTTCTGTAAGGCTTTACATACACAGTCCATTTATGAGTGTGACCATCCTCTTCACGAATTTTACCAAAAGACTTTGCAATATTTCCATAAACTACTGGTTTAACTATTGTCACACCCTGAAACCAGAGGTGTCAATTCATGATCAAACTTGCACAATTATATTAAAAATGTATCAATTTCATTAAAAATTGTACACATACTTTAATTCGCCCACCGGAATCTGGTCCAAAATCTGTAAGCCCTGCCATCATTGTCCAGGATTTCGCTGAAATAATTCTCCAACAACTGTCTAAAAATTAACCTCTTTTCACAGTTGTCAACAAATCATTAATATTCCAATCTTCATCACTTGAAACAATACACTTGAAATACACGTAATTGCAGGAAAATGCTAACGTTCCACATTAGTAAGCATAATACTATTGCTCTCAACCAACCAATTCTTATATTCCAAGCAAATCACTTGCCGCTTGTTTAGCTCGAGTTAAATCAGGCTTGTATGGATAAACCAGAGAGTATTGAACATTCCACAATCTTCCCCCAGACCGGCAACTCTAGAATCTGAATCCCACATGTGTCTCAGAATTATTTATTGGAGTATTATTATTGGAACGAAGTGATACATGGTAGTTTTGAGGGACTGACCGAATATTTATCAATTAACAGAATAATTGGTAAATGTTTTAGGAGTTGTTTTGGGGAAAACTGTTATTATATGAATTAAATTTAAATAATATTTTGAAATTTGGCTGTTGGCAGCAACGAAAAGCTGCGATAACAAATGAAAAGCATCGTGCGTTAAAGACAGCAAGAACTTTGTTTGTGGAATGTGCTTGTGTCATTCTCATAGTTCTCGGTCTTAAAGGAGTAATTTGTTGACAATTTTTGAATTTCAAGTATGACTCACACGAACTTAGAAGTAAGTAATTATTTACAATTTTTTTCAAGAATTAGTATATATCACATAGTGAACATGGTTCGATTTTAATAGATGACTGTTATAATAGGTTATAATTAGGTTTTTAATTTTGAAGGGAATATGTATATTTCTCAGTATGATACATCGTGCTCAAGATATTGAATCTTGTATTATCACAAATCTTCTAGATTCAGTGTAATAATCTTAGGTCCAACCTTCTGTCTAAAATATTAACCCTTTTACAGCCATAATGACTAACAAATGTTCTTTCTTTTTTTTCAGATGGAGGTGGATGAAAAGCCTTTCAAAGGTGAAGGATTTCGTCCATACTACATTACAAAGATAGAGGAATTACAGTTGATAGTAGCAGAGAAAAGTCAAAATTTGCGTCGGTTACAAGCACAACGGAATGAACTCAATGCAAAAGGTATAAGCACCCATTTCTTTTTGAATTTATATCATCTGATTTGATTGGTGTTTACAGCAACCATGTGTACATGAAATTAGTTTTGCAATTTTGATAGTTTTTTTTTCAACTTAATAATTTTGTTCTTTTGAAAAGAAGGATGATAGAATTAAAAAATATCAAATGATTAAAAATCCTAATAAAAGCTTCATGACAAAATGTTTATTGAAACATGTCCTTAACGTTTGGTATTAAACAATTTCTCAGTTAAGTTCCAAGTTTTCTCAGGATAGTGAATAGTGTTCCTTTGTGAATGTAAAAATGATATTTATTTGTTCTCACTGGATTTACATTCACAACATACTTAAAATCATTTAATTTCAATAAATCTAAATATTGGTACTTGGATATCATTGCAAATCTAAATTGCATGTGTAGTAATAATAATTATTATTTATTTTTTAATGTATGTAAGAAAGGATGCATTTGGAAGTTCATTGTTGTGTGTATTTCCTTCCAAAGGGCCACATTTTTTAGAAGAGTGTAATTTGTTTGAGGGTCATGTAGTTTTTTTTTTGGCAGTGTCATAGTTATACATTTCTGCATTCAGAGAAAGAAAGATAAAATTTTTTCTAATAATTTCTGATTTGTGTAATTTGTGAAGAGAAAAATTATAAATATTTTTGTACATTGGAGTGGTGGAATTTTTAATTTTTTTCACCGTGGTATACAGAACTCGGGCTGATGAGTGGTGGTCATTGTTCTCAATATTCGTTTTTTGGTTATGAAAGTGTGTATACATCTTAGAGAATGGTTTCATAATATGAAATACATTATTCTTAATGTAAATAAGTTTGTTTGTCTTAAGAATGTGTATGGGATAATATGCTTGACTTTGTGAACATGTCATTCAGGTCTGTAAAATGATAATTCCAATGCAGAGCATCTTGAAGTCCAAGGAAAGTTGTTTTTTCAGGCTCATATGAAAGACATGTCGTGGATGGCAAAATATGTGTGTGGTCTTCCTTAAGTTTAAGCATACTTTCGTGGTGTTTATAAAGTTTGTTTTCTTTGAACCATTTTATGAGTGTTTCTAGAAGCATTTGTACCTTTTGTAAAGATTTTTTTACTTACTTTAATCATGTAATATAATGACCTTTTCATTTATTATTTTTCATATTTTTGTGCTTTAGTATCAGAGGCATATCCCTTAACAAAAAGTAATATAGTTTCTAGGTTTGAACACAATCTAGCTGCAATATAGCAGTAATCAATTTATCTTCATAGGATGTGAAAAATTGGTCAAAATTATTCATTGAGGGTCATTAATGAACCTGAGATTTCCGAAGTATCATGTTTATCTTACTGTTTAAGATAATCAATAATATCAGATGCATTTGATAAATCGAGAAACAAACCAATAGAAATATATTTTTGGTGTAGAGCAATAAGATGCCATTTAGAAAGGAGTTCATGGCTATGTTTGTAGATCTGCCTTTTCTCAATCCATGTTGGGTCTCTTGTCAGTATACTCTTTGAATTGAAGGTCTATCACTATGCATTGTTGTGTAGAATTTTTGAAAATTTTGAAAATACAGGTATCCTGTAAAATTTGCCAGGTCATGTATGCTGACTTTCTTGACTACTGTAGTAGCTTTACTTTAGCTTTATTGAGAGTTTCTGGAAAAATGCTTGTTAACAAGGAATTGTTACAAATGTATTTTATTATGTACAGTACAGTGTATTTAATGAGGGTGTCAGGGATATTCAGATCTGAAGAGAATTTGTTTTTCATTCAACTGATGATTTTTAGTGCTTCTAATTGCAATATGTTATTGTCATATTTGGAATTTACATTTTGTGTTGTGCAAATATTTGACTGTGTGTTTATGTTATTTAGTGTTGAATTAGTATTTTTTCCCAGTGGCTGAAAAATGTTTATTGAAAGTGTTCTCTGCAGTACATTACTTTTGTTGTACAGTGCAATGTGTTTCATTTTTCTGGTATCAGTTTTTTGAGTATTTTTCACTATATCTAACCTTCCTTTTGTATTGCGCTTTGGCTGCTTCTTTATCATTCATCAACAAATCGGTTGACTTACCTTGGAATAATTTTGTACGTTTTCGAGTAAGTAATGAAATCAAACTAAGGATTATTTCATGCATATTATGTGTGCAGTTACAATATATTTTAATTTCTTTGGTTATTTACGATTTGTGTTTTGTTGCTTGTTTATTTTTGAAGTTTCAGTGGGAAATCAGAATTAAAATAATTTTGAAAGATGTTGATAAATTAATTTAGTATTTGCATGTTGCCTTGTGTACTTCATCCTGTTATAATTTTGATTCCTTGTTTTTTAACAGTACGGATGTTGAGGGAAGAATTGCAGCTTCTTCAAGAACAAGGTTCTTATGTTGGTGAAGTGGTGAAACCTATGGATAAGAAAAAGGTTCTTGTAAAAGTTCACCCAGAAGGAAAGTTTGTTGTTGACCTTGATAAAAATATTGACATCAATGATGTAACGGCTAATTCACGAGTAGCTTTACGCAATGAGAGCTACACATTACACAAAATTTTACCAAATAAGGTATATTTGAATTCTTTCACTTTGGGTTGTACTACGTAAATGTAACTAGTAATAAGTTACATGAATGCAAGTAATATTAAATACTTATTATTTACTTAAACTTGTGATATACTTTTGTGTAATATTCCAGGTTGATCCTTTGGTTTCTTTAATGATGGTTGAGAAAGTTCCTGACAGTACTTATGAAATGGTTGGTGGTTTAGATAAACAAATCAAAGAAATTAAGGAAGTAATTGAATTGCCTGTAAAGCATCCAGAACTTTTTGATGCTTTGGGCATAGCCCAACCAAAAGGGGTACTTCTTTATGGACCACCTGGAACAGGTATGTAATCCTTTCTAGCATTCCCTTCCATTAGAGAGGGACTCAACAAAATCTATTGCAAAACAAAGAGTAAAAGTACTTTAAAATCAATGTGGATGAAACTAAGAGTTCTACATAATGTACTGCCTTTCATTTCACTTATGATCTTGCATCATTAAAGGGAAAGGATCAGAACAACAAATGACTAGTTGGGTGAATTGAAATGTCTCCGGGTCTTCCAACGATTCCAGTCACACGATTAATTTTGAATACTCTCACACATTTTCAACAGGATTAATGTAATTAAATTTTGTTCTACCAGGTCTCTCATCCTTTAAACAAAACCTTCATTTACAAAAGCTTATCTTTGTAATATTTGGGTTTGCCTCTTTTTCCTTAAATTTAAGAATTTTTTCTTGTTGCAAACACACTTTTTTCAATTTCTATCTGATCTGTGGTGGACAAAGAACTTTATTTCTTTGCGTTTTTTAAGAAAAACAAGGAAAGTGTGCACTTCAAGAAATTCAAATGATGATATGGACATACTATTCTTGTCTTCACATTAGATTCCCCCTACTTACACTGCCATAATCAATGTTTGGTAGTGATGGATCTAAATTCGCTAAAATTGTGTTTTTTCTGACAATCAATCAGCAACATTTTTATTCTGAAATTATTTCAGTGATAAAAATCATCTGACAGTAAATATATTGACTAATAGTGATATCTTATTTTTTAAAGAACATTTGCCTTTGAGAAAGAGAGAAATTATAAAGCCATTAAATTATCTTTCAAATCCATAAAATCATCAATACTGCTTTGAATCTTACTAAAGCATTCATGTCTCCTATCTAACATTAGCTGATCTGTGTAAAAGAAACATCGGTCTTGACCAATGATCCGGTGCCACATATCACACTATGATAGCCTACCATTTTTTGTGCTAAATTATTGGACATTGAAAAGAGTGAGTTTCATTGAGAAATCAATTCTGCAGTATTCTGGCTAAATGTTTGGAAACGTCCCTGGAAATTTTGTTATAAAAGAATTCCTTTTAAGATTATAAACTATTGGTGTTTTAATGATTGCCATGATATTGATTCTATTCTGCTTTTCTTTGAAAAGTTTGCATTGCTTTGGTTTCTGCCTCAGCATTTAGTGAGAAAGTTTTAATATACCTGATGCTTTTGTTTTTACTGTAAGGCCTTTTGTACTGTAAAATAATGCATGTGTTTATCTAAAAGCAAGGGTGATGAATGTTTTGATACACCATCGACTGAGTTGTGTAAATTGTACAATTCATAACCTTCTTCCAATCTTCCTATTATAATCCAGTTGTTTCAAATGGTGAATCTAGTTTTAATAAATGCATAGGCTTATGCAAAATATGTAAAAGACAATATAATAAATGAAAAGTGAATAAAATTCTTTGATATGTTAATTTCATTTTTCTGTGCATGCATCATAGTGCAACAGCAGCATTCCTCAGGGCCAAGTGTTTAAAATTTTATTTCCTTAGAGTTGAAGGTACTTTCATTTGAGAGTTTGACTTGGTGGCATTGTGCTGGGAAGGGGTTCAGTGTTGACTCTCCAGTTACACAAGCCAAATCATATTAGATACAAATTTGATATGATGAAAAAGTAATACTAATTTTCTTTTTTCTATGAAAATTTAATTTTTTCAACTCCAGGCAATACTAGGTTTATGAAAATCTCACTTGTAATTTCAGATTACCTTTGATTTATTGACCCTTTTTCAATTTTGATTCAGCCTTTTGTGTGTGAAAAAATTCTGAAGTGTTTGACACGCTTGTTTAGGAAAGACTTTACTTGCACGTGCTGTGGCCCATCATACAGAATGTACATTTATTCGTGTTTCTGGCTCTGAACTGGTCCAGAAGTTCATTGGTGAAGGATCCCGAATGGTTCGTGAACTATTTGTAATGGCCAGGTAAGTGAAGTTATATATATGTAGGCACATGCATATTTACCTACGTACTAAACTGTATATTGCACTTGCCAGTGTGTAAGCTACTCCTCAGTTTTAAATATAATTTCATGAGAAGAGAAGAGAGAGAAAACAAAGCTCCAAATGCCCACTATAGGTATTGATGTACTTCTGAGTAGTTTAACTACTGTTCGAGCAACATTTGTAAAAGTGTCCTGAGTGATTGTAGCACATACCGTTTCATCCTGATTCTTTATCTTATTCATTTCATCCTCATCCATTATTTCTGAAGTGCAGCCAGTGTAGCTGGTATAGTTTACATCATTCTAAAGACTTCCCCATAAGTAGAAGTCCAAAGAAGTTTCCAAACCAGCTACCCTTAAAATTGAAATAGTATAAAAAATAAATTGAAACAGTATGTGTTACAACCTCTGAGGACAGTTTTACAAATGTTGCTCAAACTGTAGTTAAACTACTTAGAAGCTTATTGATGCCAATAGTGGCGTGTTGCACACATTTTGAGATGTGTTGTAATGGTTGTACCTGTAAAACTAAGATTATTTGTGCTCATAACTTTCTGGTTATGTGAATTCAGCTTTGTTATGTTCATATAGTTTATATGCTTGAAGTGTGCATTTTATTGGCACTCTCTCACACACATTGGTAACAGATTTTCAGAGATATGTCTTTCATTTTTCAGAGAACATGCTCCTTCTATAATCTTCATGGATGAAATAGATTCAATTGGTTCCTCTAGAATTGAATCTGGAAGTGGAGGAGATTCTGAAGTACAGAGGACCATGCTTGAACTTCTTAATCAGTTGGATGGATTTGAAGCTACAAAGAACATAAAGGTATCTAAATGTTTTTTAAATGTTACCTATACTGAATTTAAATTATGATACTAAAATTCAACTGAACACTTGCATTTGTTTTTGTAACTTTTAGGTCATCATGGCCACAAATAGAATTGACATTCTGGACCCAGCTTTACTGCGTCCTGGTAGAATTGATCGCAAAATTGAATTTCCTCCTCCAAATGAGGAAGCTCGTCTTGATATTTTGAAAATTCACTCTCGTAAAATGAACCTAACTCGTGGAATTAATCTTCGCAAAATAGCTGAACTTATGCCTGGAGCATCCGGAGCAGAAGTGAAGGTACCTGTTATTCATGCATTTGATCAACCCCATACTCTTGACAGGTCTTAGTCAATGCAAATTATAAATTATTTATTTGCAGGGTGTGTGTACCGAAGCTGGCATGTATGCACTTAGAGAACGTCGTGTGCATGTTACTCAGGAAGATTTTGAAATGGCAGTTGCAAAAGTTATGCAGAAAGACTCAGAGAAAAACATGTCCATCAAGAAATTGTGGAAATAAGTGGTTTTTATGGCATATCATTTCAAACATGGAAGTTTTGTTTTCTATGAAAGGAACTATGATAGATTAATGAAATATGTAACCACCCTAACAGTCTGTGTCATTAAATTTTTCGTCTTGTGAATTGTTTTAATACTAGAGGTTGAAAAAAATAAATTTCTATAAGTTTGACATGCAACTTTTTTAGTTTTAAATAGGCTTTCAATAACAAGCAATGAAAAATCAACCCAATTAACTCAACAGGTTTTTTATTTATTTCAAAGTTTATTCCAAGAAATGTCAACCTAATAAAGAAAATTAAACCAAATAGATCCTTCTTAAAGTCTTTGAAGCCAACCCTTGGGCTACTGCATCCTAAACTTACCACTCAGTGAGAAAAAAGTAAAAAATTAACAAATCCAATAAATTAAAAAAAAAAAAAGCTCCACCTTAGAGTTAAGGTTATTTTTCATCATTGTTGCTATTAGAATTTTCTTCTTTGAGGGTGCTAGAATCTTGCTGCTTCAGATTGGTTACCGATGGACTTTCAGTATTTTCAACTGGTTTGTCTCCACATTGCTTTTCCTGAGTGTTGTCAGATTCTGTCTCTCCAGTATTGTCATTGTCATGATCACTTTTTTTTGGAGATAGTTTTTCCTTTTCCTCTACTGGAGAATTGTCTTCATTGCACACATCTCCTTCAGCTTTATTTGCCTGTCCTTCCTTGGATCCTTTTTCACCTTTTCCACATAATTCTAGCAAGTTATACTTTAGAAGTTTAAAGTAATCTGGCACAACGCTCATACAACACATTGAGCGTATGATTTCTATGATGAAGGTCAGACGAGGCTGAGACAAATCTACTTTATTGTCCACATGCCGAACTTTAATCATCTCTGCAAGTTCCTCTATAACGTCATTGCGTTTGATACTGTTGTTATTTCGATGACTGAAACAAGGAAAACTAACTATAATATGTACAGGTAGCGTAACTTTATCAAATCATTTAACAAAAAATGTTAGTGTTAATAGAAAAATGACGTGAATGGACAATTCCAATGTTATAAAATGCAGGCAGTTATCTAAAACTTACTTAAATACAATTGCAAATGTCTTGCCTTCTTTTGAAAAATATTTGTCAATCAGCACTGCAGCGTTTTTCCGAATATCATCCATATATGCCTAAAACACAAAACAAAATTGTTTTATTGAAACTATTATAACATACTTAAGTTCATGTTAAAAAAATAATGCATGTTTATCAGAATCTTCTACTTCTTTTCTTTTACAGTTCTTTTACTTTTTTTTTCACTTGTTTGGCAATGATATAATCAAACAATCAATGATTGCTTAAGTCTAAATTTATATTACGCCTTGATGAATGGAAATTGAAGAAATTTATTAAAGTGGAAAATGTGGCATACTGATGATAGAAGCAATCGTTAAAAAACTGGCCGAAATTTATATCTTTGAATTCCTTTTATTCCCTTAAAAAATGAAATTTAAAATATTTGAACATTTATGTATAAAAAATTAATAAAATGGTAAGTATCAGAACTTCAATATTTTAATTAAATTTTCTATTTACTTCAGAAACATTTTAATTAAATACAAAGCTTATGATATAAAATCAATTGTATGTTTATTTTCCAAGAACTCCCCTTACTATCTCCCGTTTTTATCAAAGTATTAGATACTGAAATTGCCTATCCTTCCATAAAATGTAATGGTTAAAGTTGAGTATACGGTACACCCTTAGAGAAGCGTGACGGCAAGGCTTCAGCCCTAATTACTGTACGTGCTCAAATAGAAATGAATAAAACTTACGGATATACGATTTTCATTGTTCACCTTTCATACGTTTTGTCTCCGCCACATTGTATCGCCAATTTACTTTCAAAGGCAAGTTTTCACACTTCACTCGCCTGGATCCAAGTTACGGTGTGGCTCAGGCCTTCGACCCTCGCGTTCACTATAAACATCCTCGAGTCTATCCAACGCATAATTACCAATTCACTTCTTTAAGACCACTGTTCAAGAAAGCCTCCAGAATTCTAACTGCCTAGTTAACTCCGGAACAGCGTGAAGTGCCGGTTTCCTTAGGTTGTACTGTATACTACATTTCAGCCAATGTAATTTATCATTCTTTGTAGCAATTGTTTGAAGATCTGAGTTTAACTCACATTCAACAGTAGAGGCAGAATGATACAGGTGACTCATTTTCATGGTACTGTTTGATTTTTCATACCTGATATGGCAAAACAATGTAATACTAAAGCTACAGTTCCTCGACAATTCCATGAATTTTCTAGGAATTATTTGATTTTCACTTAGTTTTCCCTGTATTAATTGTCAAATGCTCAATGATAAGGAAAATATGTAAGATAGAGAGAAATGAATTAAATATATTTACTGTCAATTTTGTAAATATATTAAAGTACAGGTCATTTTGTTGGTAAATGAACAAATAGAAGTTAATCAAATAAGAAGTAATGAACTGATGGCTATTGATACATCAAGGCTGAAGAAATTAAATTAAAATTAATTATTATAATTAAAATTAATTGATTGCAATTAAAATAATATGAAATCTTACTTTGCAAGTGGTTTCTACTGGTATTAATCTCAACAAAAAGCGTGACCTCTGTTTCTTGGTTGTGTCAATGTCTGTCATAATGGAATAAGCCAATTCAGTGGGATCAGGTAGCTGTACAAAATACTCAAATACATCAGCATTAAAAATGTCAATATGGAACAACATGTAAGCATAAAAAATATTTAAGATAATATTTAACTTCATGAAGAAAACCAATAGTACAATATGCATATATTTGCATACAATTTATGAAATTATTTATGACAATCTTAAAATGATTACTACATATGTTAATGTGTACAAAGGCATTAAAATTATATTCTGTTCAAAATACAAACTACCACTAGTTTTTTGGCATTCACATTTTCCAAGACTCAAACTTTTTGACCTAATGTTAGAATTTATATCGAATAAAAAAAGGAGAGTAAAATACAACCGTAGTTTTGATGAAGACACAATTATTAGCTCCTGATTCAATCATATTAAATCGCCACTGTTTGTTGGGACCTTGTTTCAAATTACTGATTTCTTTTGACAATGCAGTGTCAATGTCATCCTCATCTTCATTCTCTTCTAATGGTTTCCTTGCTTCTTCAGCCTTATCTGACACCTTTTCCTGAAGAAGAAGAAAACAATACATTTATATATTTTCTAAAATATCCTTTGTTTTAAACAATTTAGCAATAAAGTTAAATAAAAAAAATATATTGAAGTTCAGTACCTCATTTTCGTAAAGCCGGTCGGCATAATCGTTAAGTATGTTATATGCCTCTCTGACACATTCTTTCTCTCTGCTATTGCACGTACAAATAAATCCCTTTAAACCTGGTTCCAAAACAAAATTGCGCTTCTTCTTAAAATTGTTTTGATTATAATAACCCCCTTGCCTTTTCTTCTGAAAAGAACTCATATTCTAATATTTAAATGAATATTTTTGTTTGAGTAGCTTACTCTAGTCTTAATCAAAACATACAATATGTCAAGATCAGAAATACATGAAAATTCGTCACAATTATAGCGTAGTATAGGTTATGTTCTATAAAACCGCCGAACTGTATCCAGGCTGAACCAGTATGCCAGCATACACTCCGGAGGGCACTCCACGCGGTGAGCGGTATCATTTATGTGCACTTGACGAAAGTCAGCTATTCCTATTTCATCGAATCGGGATCTTAAATGTGAAGTCATTATGGAGACGTTCAAGCTTCCAATTGGATAAA